ATGCAAAAGAATGAAAGAAAAGGTTAGTATGCCCAGGAAAAAAAGGAATAAATAAATAACCAAGCAAATTAAAACATCATACAGAATAAGATGAATGAACTATATGCTTCTGGTCAATTCTAAAAGGAAGAATGATGGCTCTATCTATAAGTTAGGCATTATTAAGGTTCACTATATGTGGTTTAAGGTTAAAGTCTAAAGATTCCCAAATTGCTCCTTACATCATTGTCCATCACAGACTAGTAAGGCATCCTAATCCTCACCCATTACAAGCTACAAGCAAAAAATGTTCAATTTGAGTGGGAGTATTTCGCTAGCCACTGCGGAGGCATTAAACCTCACGAAAGCAATAGGTACTTTCTCCTCATAGAAGAATGAATCTCGGGTATAAAGTTCATGTTATGCATATGCATATAAATGACATAATTGATAAAGTAAATAAACACGAATGAATAATAAAAAATATATACAAAAGGTTCAATTTTATTAGGCTTTTGGATAACACAAATTTATTTGCTGGCCTGACTCTCAGACGTCCCAAGTGGAGTCGCCTAGCTGTCATAACATCTAGATCTAATGATCTATCGCTAGACATTAACTTAGGGAGTCGCCGCCAATCTTTTTTATTTAGGTACGATTGGTTACCTGATGAATCTATCCTTTTAAGGAACACCTAAGCCTAAGGGTCCCTAAAAGAATAGGTTCAGGTCTACTAACCAAAACAGGGTTCGAAAGTTCAGTTACGTGTGAGAAAAGGTTATAGCACCCTCACAACGCCTATCGAAAGATGGTATCAGCTTAATTTTTGTGTTATCCAATAAGCCTTAAAAATTTACCAAGTAATTAACTATTGAAAATTATTCTCAATTGACTCTAATACTTTTAGCAAAAAATTAAAAAAATTTCTCACCTCAAGAGTATACAAAGCTATTGTTTCACTTGCAGAGGCTCTATCATCAGATTAATTAACATTAAAAAAAATTCAAGAAAATAAAAAGGAAAAGAAATAAAAAAAATGATTTGGCTTTAGATATAAATCTTTTTCTCTTAAAAAATTCATTGCTTTTGTACAAGAAAAATTGATACTTTTAACTTTTTCTCAAAAAAAAAAAACCTTTTTTTGAAAACTTATTTTTAAAGAAAATAGATACTTTCAACTTTTTTTCCAAAAATATTTTTTAGAAAAAACTTATTTCCAAGGAAAATTGATACTTTTAACTTTTCCTCAAAAATATTTTTTTAGAAAAAAACTTATTTTAAAGGAAAATTGATACTTTCAACTTTTCCTCAAAAATATTTTTTAGAAAAACTTATTTTAAAGGAAAATTGATACTTTCAACTTTTTCTTAAAAATATATTTTTTTGAATTTTATTTAAAGAAAATAATAAAATAAAAATAAAATAAAATAAAAAAGTACTAAACAATTCTAATCTAATCAATAAATAATAATAATAATAAATAAATAAATAATAAATAAATAAAAAAACTAGGAATGGCTCAGCTTAACAGTTCGACTCAGCTCGGTTCGACTTAGAAAACGGCTTTCACTCAGGTCACACGCGGGTCATACGTGGGTTGGCGCTCGGGTCAGGTCATCCGATTTCAAAACGCGCAGATCCTCTAGGAACAGTAACGCCAAAACGACGTCGTTTTCAACAGATATAAAAGGCTATATCCTCTGTTTTTCAGTAGATCTCCCCTTTCTCTCTCTCTCTTCCCTTTCTTTCCTCCTCCCTCTCTCTACCCGAACGAAGAACTCTGATTAAATCTCATCGGATTTTGAAAAATGTCGCTGGAATTTGGGTTTTTCTTCGAAAGTTCATCGAAAAGTTGGTCGGTTTCTGAAAATAGTTGCCAGAAACTGGATAGCTGACCGAAAAGTTCAACTGGTGCCGAAAAATTCAAACTTCATCGAAAAATTCAACTGAAATTTAAAAATTTTCCTAAAATTTCCAAAAAAAAATCACCTAAAATTCTCCAAAAAATCCTGAAATTGCTTCTGACCTTTCTGAACGGCTTTTTTCTTTCTCTTTTCGCTCTCTCTCTGTCAGTATCTTTTCTATTCTATTCCAACACCTATTTATAGGGATTGATCAGAAGAGTTTTTGACCAATCCTAATTTCCTCTGAGATTTAGATTCAATCTTTGAATCCAATCCTAACTCTACCAACCCCAAATTCACGCCAGAATCTCAGTTGTTCCTAATCCTAATCCCAATTGGGTAATCAGAAAAAGAAAGAAAAAATTATAAAAAATATAAAAATAATAAAAATAATATATTAATAGATAAAAATATTAATAGATAAATAATAATAAAGTATATATATCAACAGGTAAATAATAAATAATATATATATTAATAAATAGTAATAATAAATAAATAAATAAATAAGATACAAAAAATAAAAACACAAGATACAAAATAAAAAATAAAAAATAAAATGGATCTATCCATTTGAATCAGATCCAATTGATCCGGGCATAGATTAAATTGAGTGTTTACAATATTATATGTTTATATTTCGTTTCATATGATCGAAAATGAGTTTTTTATTTTGTAAATTTTATTTCTTTTACTTTAAAATTTGAACTGTTATAATCATTTAACGAATATTATTTATATATTTTTGGTTAATATTTAAAAAGCAAAACTGATTTATTTAATATTATTTTTACTTTTTATTTTTGGTTTTTCAAAAAAAAAAATAATAATTGATTGTCTTATCCGTAGAAAATAGATACTCAAAAATTGTGATTCCTAGAAAGCAGTATCGCGAGAATATAAACATCAATCGGCGGATTTAGCTTTCTTTATCGCGCGAGCCCAAGTTTTCCAAACGTTGTGTATTTGTTAAAGATTTAAGGTTTTGATTTTTTTTTTTAGCTTAATAATCTTTAGAGCCAAGAAAGAAAATTCTAAATTGTCTTTTCTGCGTCATATTCTCTTGTGATTGTGTTTTGTTTTTTTTTTTATACATAAAATCGATATAACTTTAAAAAAGATAAAAAATTTATATTTTTTAAGAATTTTTTAATCATTAAGTGGAAAATTAGGTAATTGGTTGAGATTATTTTTAAAATTATATATAGCAAACTGAAATCTTAAAAAAGAGAGGAAAAAAAAAACTTCTCTTTCTTTTTCTCCACGAGTTGTGAATTATGGTTTTTCTCTCTTTGGTGTACTATGATTTGGGCTTTTTTTAGTTTGTTGTGTTAAATTCTTTTGGTATTTTTTTCACCTTAACCTTTCTCTTTTTTTTTTATAATAAATATTTTATTCATCTAAAAAAGCATAGTTTTACTAAAAAAAGATTTTTACAAAAATTTAACAATGAAAAATAAAAGATTAATCTAACTATTAAAATAATATTATCTCATATATAATAAATATTTAATTTTTTACAATTTTATTTTTAAAATTAAATCTCTTCACTTCCGACTAATTAGTTTATAATTTGATGTTTAATAGAGTATTAAAATAACAATTTTTTTAATTTTTTTTTTAAAATCTGTTATATGATAGATTTTTTTTATCTTTGCCTATGTGATGAGATACATTAAAATAGTGTTATTTTATATTTAATAAATATTACTTACACGTGATGAAATATGTTAAAGTGATATTATTTCACATATAATAAATATCAAATTTCATATAGTTTTATATTCATGTTTAGTCTATTTACTTACTATCAATTGATTTTAAACTAAATGTTTAACAGTGTTATCTTATATCTAATAAATATCAAATTTCTTGTAAGATTATATTAAAGTTTGACCTATCTATTTACAATAAATTGATTTCAAGTTTTAAATCTATCATGTGATAGACTTTTTTTCATTTTTGTTTTTTATTTGCATTTCTAAATAAATCATATAATAAGCTTTTACTATCTTCATCTTTTTCAAATCAATCACACCATAAGTTTTTTTCATCTTCACCTATTCATAATAGAAACTTATTAAAATGATATTATCCCACGTATAATAAAGTTATATACATTGTTATTATGAGAAAAAGTTATTCGTGCATGCCTATATAGATATTGTTTATATTTTAAAAAATAAATATTATTTTTATGTAAAAATCCTTATATTTCCTTTAATTTAAAATTAAAAATAAACGAAATTGATATTATTATTTGAATACATTTGAACAATTATTGATATTTATAATAATATTTTTAACTATTTATCTATATCATAAATTATCAGATCGAATATGAATTTTTTTCTATTATAAGATAAATAAAAATTTTTTTTTCTCAAAATAAGTTGCTTTTAAATTTATTTCTTTAAATTAAAATTTTTTTGTCATTTAGCACATAATCACCACAGACCTTTTTCCTAAGTTTTCTTTCATTTTCAATTTGTTTTTTCTTTTCTTAGTAACTTCCATGCCCCGACATATATACAATTCATGTTAGATTGCTTTTATAGAAAAGATTTACGTAAATAATTTTTAATTGATGAGATCAATGGAGATTTGTTTTGTTACTTGCTTTCCAAACGTAACTAATAATCTTCTTTTTGTTTATAATTTCATCATGAATCTATTGTTTGAATCTAACAATCTAGATCTTGTGATTTTTCTTTGAATATGTTGTTTTACTCTAACTTGTTGTCTTTAATATATTTATTGATTATTCTAAAAAAACCCAAATGATTTCACCAATATCCGATCATTAAAATTTATGTAAATATGTTCAATTCAAAGTTGAACTTGATTCTACGTACATAAAAAAAAAATTAAAAACAATTGATTGATTAAATTCATCGATGAACCACTTGCTTACAATATACAAAAATAAATGGGAAAAAATCATGACATGACACTCATGTTAAAAGAATACGTTAATTAAAAATATTCTAATTTTAAAATTTAGATGTGACACTTTGACCAGCGCTAGCTGCGCGGTAACCTCCGCAGAGGGACACGTTCACGCGGTCGAATAGAAAACTTGCTTCTCACTCGACGCGCTTTGATTAATCCTCTGTCGCGCTAGTGGAGCATTTTGAGTTGACTGGAGTAAGAGCTGTGCCGTCGGCCTAATAATCCGCACCGATTGCAGCGTTGCTTTTATCTATAGTTACATATGAAATCTGACTTACCCAAGTTGCAATTCACTAGCCCAACTCACTGTGCTTGGACTGAAACGTATAATTATAACTACAAACTTTAATCTAAGAATCTGACCAATTGGGCCGATTTCAAAAAGAAAAATTAAAAAAAATAAAAAGTTATAACGAGCACGTGCGATAGTAGTACGGTCCCTCCAATCCGCTTCACGTCTTTGATCCAATCAAATCCATTTCAGAATAAGAACGACGAATGGATGCCGCTGACACCGACATCTCCCGGAGCTTCAACTCTAGCGAGAAGCTAGGAGAGGTAGCAGACTGGGTAAGCGCCACCGTGGTCTCCGGCTTTTTCTCATCTCTGGACCGCTTCTCCTGCGTTAACCTCTCCACCACCGACCCTGATGATGACGACCTCCCGACGAGGCCGAGACCGTCCGCTCACCTACTCCTAAAGATCGTTTCCCACTCGCTAAAAATTCGGTAATTTTCTATTTCTCTTGATTTTGGGTTTTTTTGCATAATTTTTTTTAAAATTTTTAAAATTGTTGATACTTCTGATTGAATATGGAATTGTTAAGTAATAAGGGTTGGTTATTTCTTTTTCTTTTTGGATATTCAATGATCTAATGCTGTGGATTATTTTGTTTTCTCAAAAGTCAAAAGTAAAAACCCTAAATCAAGAACAATGGAGCGTGATTTTCTTCCAGAATTTGATTTTTACTTTTGGTAATGGCACTTTCATAATGTTATGATCAGTTAAAGGTATTACTGCTTTGGATTTTTTTATATATAAATTTTTGGATTATTGAATTTAATATTTTTGAACCTATGAAATGAATTAATATTATGAGGGATGGGGATTGGTTTCTTCAATGCTTCAAAATCATTCGGAAAGTGTATGTGCAATTGTCATAGGGAGAGTACTTTTTTTCTTCTTCTTAGGCTGCTTCATTAGGATATGGTTGTAGATTTGTAGTGAATGCCCTTGCCCAGAATTCTTTGTCGGCTTCTCAGAAATTTTTAGTGATGCAGCTCCTGAATTGACCTCATTTGGTTTGGCCCGCCTTAATTTGGACTCGACCTCTTTGCTTAATCTAGGAGCAGTAGGTTTCAGTGCTTGGGTAGTAATCAATAGAGGTCTATTTAAGGCTTTTCTAAACATATGGATTTTGTGGTTCTATTTGTGTGACAATTAGTCTTAACTTTCCAACTTCAATATTCTCTGATATTGTACCATGTTTTCAACTGCAATGGTCTCTCTGTCTTCTCTGTCTATTTGCTTTTCGCTAATAAGAAGGAAAATGAAAATTTGAGGTCAAAGAAACTTCAAACTAGGCAAAGATTGAGCAATAAATCCTGCCTATCTTCAAAGAAACAGTATTTCCCATGGCTAACTCCTGTTAAAATGTGGTCAATTTGATCCCAAATTAAAAAAAAAAAAAATGGGGATCAAATTGACCCAAATAAAATTTGAGGGGACAAAATGACCCTTTTTGCATGGTTCAAGGACCAAAATAGTCGTTATGCCATTTACCAATACTTAATACTTGTAATCTTTTGTTAATGACGTCAACATAAGCTGTTATCACTATATGTGCTGTTAGCTCCTTATTCCTCAGTTATCGTCTCTTGGAATGCACATGTGTACTCTGGAATTTATATTTACTCAAGAAAGTGTATGTTTGTATCAAATTGGCTTAGTCTTACTTTATTCTTCAGAGTGTACAATCTTATATTCACTTGCCAAGAAAAATATATCTAACAAGTCAAGATAAGATGGATGCAGGTAACTGAGCTGGCATAAAGAAGCCTCTACTTTTCTGAGTAAGAAAAAGGAGTAAATGGAAAGAGAGATAGTGTATTATCCATTGTCTTCTTTAGCATATTTAGCAAGTGAACCTCTTTATTTGGTCCATTTTAGCAAGTGAATCTCTCTATATGGTCCATGGGTTCCAGTTTTTTACAAGTAGTGCCACAATTTTGTGCAAACTAATGCCCAAAATAACATCTAACATGAATGTTTAACTTTACCGGTAATTTTTGTCTCCATGATGCCTCCAACAAAGCAGCATGAATATGCAACAGCGAATTATGTACAACCTTGCTCTCTTTCCCTTCAAAATCTTACTCTTCGGTACCCGAATTTTGGCTTGCTTTTGTGTAGACATTTCCATCAACTTTGTTCTCGATTTGCTGTTGGTGCAACACCTTATGCCTTGTTTATCTGATTATATAGTAATTTTCTTCCTTTAGGAATCTCTTCTACAGCAGTTACTAATGTTTATTTCAGTTTCCTTTGATATGAGTAAATAATTGGTGAAAACAGGAGAAGCAAAAACCTCAGCTTTTGACTCTTCTTTTGCATTGAACCAGGGAGCTGGTTTTGGCACTTTAAGTTTTTGAATGTTGGTTTGTCATCCGGACTTCCAGGTTCTTTTGTCTATTAATTTGACAGGGACAGTGTACTTTTTCCAGGATTTATTGCGAGAAAGACAAATGGAGCATATAACGTTCTAATCTTGTAGATAATTAAATAGTTTGAGTGCAGGATTACTTTATGTATTCTCCTCGTGGACTATAGGCAACAGGCAGGGATGTTTTAGCTTTTAAGTGAGGGCACTTGTCTCATGAATATCCACTCTCTGTTTATATACTTTGTCTGTCTAGATTAGGGGTTATGGGTGTTTACCGAAATCAGGGTTAGTGTTCTGGGTTTTCTAGTTCTTGTTGTTTAATGAGAATAATCTCTTATACAAGGGCTCCGGTGATGACAAGTATGATATGCTGCGGCAAGTCGTTCCAATTTCTGAAAGCTCCATTCACCGGAGCTTCATTGTGGAACTAAACGCACTCTGAGGAGCATCCACCTCTCTCTCTCTCTCTCCTACTACTGTTACTACTACTACGACTACTGTGTGCGCCCTTTACCTTAGCTTAAGGGATCCTCACCCTCCATTGATGGGTAGCAATCGATAATCATAGTTATCAAACTTTACTATTCCTTCATCTAATATTTGTTCAATTAAATGCCTAAAACCTGCAATGTTTTTACCCTATCTTGTAGTAATATCGTTTCGCACAGCATGCAGAAAGGAAAGCAGGGAGACAAAAAATGTAAGAATGAGATGGAATACGCAAATTTTGGGTTGGAAGGAAAGCTGCTGAGCCTAAGCTATTTTTGGATTCTGGATTGTTTTCCTTCTTCAAGCTTCTACCCTATTTTCCTCTTCCGATTACTGATCAATTAGGCTACTCCAGCCAGCAGAAAAGCCCAATCGGCCGTCTTAGGCCCCTATCCTAATAATCATGGTAGTCTGTCCATCGTGAAACAATTGAACCAATAACAACCTTCGTCCGCACAATCCTCACTTGCATGTATGTTAGTAGCGGGCAAGAGCCCATTGTATTGCTGAAAGATAAGAGTCGGGTGCCTGCATAGCCATGTCTGCTTATCTGTCAACTGTATGCTTTAATGTTGCTTTCCATCCAAAACATAGGAGTACACTCCTTCCCTTGCTAAGAGTGTATGAAATTTGGGAATTGGGAAAGAGTAGAATCTAATTTGGAGCCCATGTCCCCATCTAAATCTACAGAGATATTTCAACTAACAGTGGGTTTTCTTGTTTCCTGACATTGCCACCCAGAACCGATGCAATAACGAGATGAAGACAACAATAATATGCTTTCTCTCCGTCAGCATCTATAGTAAAAAATTTTAGTACTCATTTAAATCGGTTCATGTTCTAGCTGTGTAAGACACGGAGCAGACATCTTTGTCTTTGGCTTTCGTTGTTGACTTTCGTTGTCTTTGTCGTTGTCGTTGTCATTGGAGTAAGTAATATCGGACTAATTTTTAGGAACACCCCGGAAATTAGGCTTTTTGATTCATAAAACTGACGCTTGTCTTGCTATAAGCACTGCAAAAATTTGAAAATGCTTTGATGATAATAACTAAATAATGTTCCAAAGCTGGTGGAGTCAATTTCTTTAAAGAACTGACAAGTTTCTAATTCATACACTCTCCAACTCGTGGAATGCAAAGATTTAAAGGCAATCGTGCGGTGGTGGTGATGGGGCATTGATGGATCATTCTTTTTCTTAGCTGTTGATGGATCCTCTGACGATAGAGAAAGAATAGTCCAATTGGAATGTACTGGTGTTTCAGTAGAATATCTATGTAGGTTTTTTTCCTGGGAAATCAGAGGGAAATAGAGAGACGAAAGTATCTTTTGGGTATCAATTGGATTCTTTCCAAGTTCTGATACCGTTTTAGGGATATATATTATACAACTATCGTTGCACACCAAGATATTATTCTAATACTAATAGCATTACGCATCTCAAAAAAATAAATAAATAATTCTTAACACATCTTTTTTGTAGTTTTAAAGCTCCACAAATCGCAAGATTAACTGAGTTGAGTTCGTAAATGAATATATTTTTATATAATAATAATAATAATTTTTTATTTTTAAATTACGATTTAAATTCAAAATTGAAACTTTTAGCTTTGAAGTTAACTCAAGTACCATTGAATTAAAAGGTTATTGGTAACTTGATTTTGAATCTTAAACGAATCATATATTTGAATAAAAGGCAATTCAAGTAACTAAAACTCGTGTTAAAATTAAAACAAAGTTCCTCAATTAGAAAGAGAGAGGAAAAAAAAGAAAAGAAAAAGTAGGATGGAGTTTTATCTTTCCTTGGATATATTAATGGTTTAATGCTCTTTTACACTTCTTTTCCCTTCTTTTTAGTTACGTTTAATAGAATCTAGTTTTTAAAGTTTGTAGGAATAAATTGTCTTTTAAATTTTAATCAGGGATATAGTTAATTAAGTTTGAGTCTATATCACATTAAACTTGAAGCTAAAACTTGATTACAAATTTGAAGTTTGAAATTCAGCTTGAGTTTAAGCTTAATGGAGTTTTTTATTTAATTCAAGTTTAATTCAAGATAGATATCGAGTTATTCAAAGTTGTTCGATTAGATTCGATTAACAAATAAAAATAAATTTATTTTTTATATTTGATAAAAATTTAATTATTTGTATTTGAATTTAAATTTAAAATATTTATTAATTAAAATATTAAAACTCAATTAGACTCGCGAATTATTCGTGTCAAATATAAAAATATTTGAATTTGATTTGATTGATAAGTTAAGTCATTTGAGTTTACACTTAATTTGATAATAATTAAATTGAATTTAAATTTTATTCGAATTAAATTTAAATAATTTATGAGTATTAATAAATAATTTATATATTTAATTTTAATAAGATACCCATTAGCCAAATTTTATATTCAAGTATACTAATCAATTGGTGATGGAGAGATATATGATTAGTCTTATCAATTGAAAACTAATTTTATAAAACTTTTAATTTTAAAACTCTAGACCCTAATTTCATAAACTTTTAATTTTAAGTGATGGAAGGAATCCTGCCAGATTCTAGGCACCAAAAGGGGAAAGTGTCGCAATCATTGAAGTGTGTTAGTATTCAATGCATGACACATTTCATCAATGCTTTTGAGATATATATATATATATATATATATAAATAGAGAGAGAGAGAGAGAGAGAGGGAGAGAGAGAGAGAGAGAAATAAGTGAGTGGGAAGGAATGGCCAAATGCCCAATTAAGTATCATGAGACATATAAGATTCTAGTCAAACAGAGTTGGCCAATGAAACACCTAAACTAGAGGGAGAAAGAGAAGATGTTTTTATATATAAGATACGAAAAATGATTAATATAATCATATACAAAATCCAAGGTTTGATCCTATTGATCACTGTATCCATTTGTACCAGACCAGTCCAAATGAAATCCACTTTTTGGCCGAAGGGTTGAACTGGGGAAGTCATTTTTTCACATTAAAAAGTTAATTTAATTCATTATTCTTTTATGGAAATTTATGTATGGTCCCCGGATAAGAAACTATTGCATGTGAAATGTAATTTTGCATGTCCCTTTGATGGCTTTGGCGAATGCTGAACCAAAAATGGAGAGGGATATAGTAACAAATCATTTCTTCTGGTCTGATCGGCTACAAATCAATCTATGTCAGTAAAAATTAGGGTTTAAACTTGAAAATAGTTGTAAAGGCTTTCTTCTTTAGAGACGCCAGTAATTTTATATTAGCATGTTCTTATATATATATATATATATATATATGTGTGTGTGTGTGTGTGTGATCTAATACAATTTTGTATTTTCCGTACAATAATTTTAAGAGTTACAAAATATGAAATTTAATTAGTTGTTGTATTTTTTTTTTTAATATATGACACTTTTTTGGACTGATTTGAGCTTTCCCTTTGATAAAAAGGCTAAACAACAAAATAAAAGACTAGACCAGAGGGATCAGACAGATTAAAATTTGCAGATATAGTATTGGTACGTATGGGTGTTGGATGATGCACTGTAACTCTGGAATTTGCTGGGGGTAGCAAGGATTCAGCTTGATGTACTACATCGAGTTTTTGCCTGGCGGAATCTATAGATGGGTCAAACTAATAACTTCGATGCTGCTTTGGACATAATTCATGGCCTCAAAGTTGTACTTAATGTTCGCCTTCAAAGAAAGTATCCCATCCCCCTTTCCTACACGGTTAATTATTCACTAATGACAAGGTTTTCATTGGCACATTCCTATACCTCGAAATTGACTAGTCGTTTTCTGTCTTATTTCCATCTCTGATTTTTCTTTCTTTTTCTTGCTTGAAAAATGAACTAACAAAAAAAAAAAAAAATGAAGCATTTGGAAGATTTCGGCATTGCAGGGTATAGTAGCTGGTGTTGGAGAAAATTGCTATAATCAAGAAATTTAGCTTATAGTTTGTGGCATGGAAAGATAGAAGAGGTATGAAAATTTCCTGGAAAAAGGAGATCAGGCCAAAGCAGGTGAAAAGTGAATTGACAAAACTGCTGATCAGTACTGTCATTCCCTCCTAAGCCCCCCTCCCCAAGTCAGAGAAGATCACTATCACCGATTGTTAGTTACTTAGTGGTTAAAAAGGTATAGTAATCTTTTTTTTCATGTTAGAAACCTTTAACAGATAATTTGGAATAGTTTTATTATTTGTACTGATTTAACATATCAGGTCGGTTTGATATTTTTAGTGCTACATCAGCTTTATAATATTTTTATTATCTTCTAATAGTCCTCTATCATTTATTTATAAATATGAAAGCTCAGACACCATTAAAGTAATCTTATTCTACTTCTAATTCTTTTTACTAGTCTTCTTTCGACTTTATTCATTTTGATTTGTGCATCAGAACGCAAACATAAGAAATACTTTTTGCTTTTATCTTTAATCGTTTTTTTTTTTTTTTTCAAAATATCCTGAGATCGGAGCTTGATACAAACATTAATGATAAGGGTCGTGAGAGCTAGGAGGAGATTGACAGAATGGTTCATGAGGCAAAGAAATTTGCAGAGGATGATAAGAAGGTGAAGGAAAAGATTGATGCTTTCAATAGCCTGAAGACCTATGCCTACAACATGGAAAACCAGATTAATGACAAGGATAAGCTTGTGACAAGCTTGAATCAGATGAGAAGGAGGAAGTTGAAGCCACCGTGAAGGAGGCCCTTGTATGTTTTGACGACAACCAAAGTGCTGAGAAAGAAGACTACGAGGAGAAGCTCAAGGAAGTCGAGGCTGTGTGCAACCCTATCATCACGGCTGTATATCAAAGATCTGGTGGAGCTCCAGCAGGTGAATCAACTGAAGAGGACAATTCACATGACGAACTCTAAAAATCTCTAAATTACATTGCCTGCTGCAAGCAGCAGGGGTGAGAAAGATGAGCATAGGATGCTGTAATTTGTCTCTTGGTAGAAGTTAAAGGGAGAAATATTCCCCCGCTTTCTTCGCTTATTTTTTGTGTGAAGATACAATTTGAAGGGATCTTTTGTTTTCATTACTCTGTATTTTGCTCTGTTATGTTTAACAACTCTGAATCCTTCGATGGGCGGTCACGTCACCTTACTATTTTAAACCAAAAGCAATCCGGTAAATTACATCATTTTACGTTTTGAACACTTAAAAATTACACTTCTTGGGTGACATATATTTCTATTAAATTCAGTAAAAGAATATACAAATTGGGGTTTCATCTAGATGAGTTTATTACAACTCCTTTGAGTGGACAAGTACAAATGGTCAAGATAGTGGTAAAGTATCAGGGTCGACCATGACAACTGCAAGCAGAAGTCGGCTTTTGTAGTCGTCTACAAGATTCTGCAGACGGTTTATAATTTTTGTTTGCCTCAACCTCAATTTCAAAGGCTTACAGAAAACAAGGTAGGGACATATTCTGCTACGCAACTTACAGTTTCTTCACGTACGACCAATTTTATTGTCAACATGTAAACTGGAATATTCCATGATCAAGCATTTAAGGGACGGATGAAAGAGAATGCAGAACAAAGATGTCACCTCACTATTGTTTATTTCATGCAACCCCATATGAAAATAAACAAATAGTTATTGAAATATACAACAATATATATATATATATATATATATAGACACACACACAGTAGTGGCCCAACTTCGCTTAGTTTATTAGAGTAATTGAGTTTTAATTTAAAGTGATACATGTAGTTAATATGAATTAATTATTTATTAGTACTTTAATTAAAAAAATTATCCAGTTAAAACTATGAATTGTCTGATTTTGGTTCAAAAGCTTCACTCCACATTTTGAATGTATTCATAATCATTATATCTACATATTTCATAAATAATCTTTGTGTGCATTTGGATATGTACAAAAAGGTACAAAATTATGTGAAAAATCATGTACAAATGAAATAAATTTATGTAAATCTAATCTACTTGTCTATCCAATCCACATAGCTAAGGAGAAAAATTAACTATTTGTCCAATAGGTAATGAGACTAAACCTAACAATTTAAAACACGATATGAAAATGGTAGGAATAAAGGATATGGAGATAATATGACTTAAAATTTTTAAAAAATCATAAATAGATTTAATAAAATAAAAAAATATATTTTATGTTTTTGTATTGACACAAATTGTGACGCGATTTTCGTATAAAATAAGATACAAATATAATATTTTACACGATAATGACACAAATTGCTAGGTCTAAATGAGACATACTTTCTTCAAAGTATTGAAGTCATTAGGAGTTGACTTATCTATCCTGATTTGCATATAGACCCATACCTGTTGATCATGATCCCCATAATAGTAGATAATCTTTCTGAAAAATAATTGGGGTATTAAAAAATCAAAATAAAATGGTAATGATATCAAATGAAGCAGAAAAATGGAATAAACACGATTAACATCACTTATGAATTCATCTTCTTTCTCTCGCATTCACAAAAAAAAAGTTATTGACAATCGTTAGTGTCAATACCTAAAGCTTTTGGTTTAGCAATAAATGTCTACAAAATTTTGAAGCCAAAAAAGCTAAAATTGAACATAAAAAAAAAAAAACAAAACCAATTAAAAGAAAATTGGGAAAAACCTCAAATAAAAAGTCAACAGAGTTCATATGAGCATATTTCTACTTCAAAAGACCTTCATGAGTACGAAGTACATCAAGGTCATCCTAGCCCAAACCAAAAAGAAAACAAAAACCTACTAGTAACCAGTTACACCTAAAAACATAACAGTCTTTTCTAACAACCATGCTAACGAAGCAACACAAACTTAATAGTAAAATTGCATGAAATCCAATAATCATTTTCAATCACCTGAAAAATAAGACCATCTACTTCATGAGAGAGCTTGGGGATAAATTCCTTCAAAATTAAAGCCATTTAGTGACAAAATATAACATTCCATCGAAATTGGATCATAGTTTCTAAATCAAATTATAGTTGTTTAAAAAATATATGAATAAATCATCATGTAGCTATTGAAAAGCAAAAAGGCTTTGGATTTCCTTTTTTCTTGTTACCTTGTAAGACAAGGGAGTGGACGGAATGAATGGTAATATATAATACTATCTTAAAATAACATCCCAAAGTTTCCAAAGTAAACTTGAAGGAGAAGAAACTAACTAAATAAAGCAAACATCTAACTTAAAAGTTATGTTTAGATTCAACAATCACGTAAAGTGACACACTAGTTAGAATGGGGAAAATAATTTTAAAAAATTGTCTCCCAATGAACCCAAGAAAAAGAAAAGTTAGGTTAATTTAAATTCTAATTATTATAGTAGAAATCCCATAGTCAACAATTTAGTAGTTAGATGCTAATTTTGACTTTATTTTTCCTTTTTACTGTTAAATCTAATTGCATTTACAAATTGTAGGCTAACTTTTAAACTCTAAAATAACAATTAGAATTAAATAATTGGGTATATCTTAAAGAGTTGTACTTGTTAAAGTTTGTTTTGCATACTTCTTACTGCATACCATTCACATATGGTCCTTGCCACTTAGCACCAAGAGTATGTAAAAGCTAAACCTTTTCTAAACATGCATTTCCCAACAACCTTTTGCCTTTTGTAACTGTAGAGATTTATGCTTTCCACTTAATAACCCTCATAACAGTTGAAGATCCTAAAAGGCTAAAATATTAACTACCACATCCTTATCTCTATCTCCTTTATGCCTTCTTTAACTGTATAAATCAATTCTTTTCAATTAATAACCTCTTAAAAAAAGTGTAACTTGTTGATCTTATTGTTAAATAGGTATATGTATCTTTTACTTCCCCCTTTCCCCCATTTTTTCTTTATTATTTCTTTTGTTTTTTTTTTTTACTTGTGTCTGAATGTGCTTAATGTTTAGGAATATTGTATAAAAAAGATATATATTTAAGAATTAAAAAGTCCATAAAATAGCATGAGTAATAGTAGTTTACATTGATATATTAGTAACACGTCTATAATCCATGCAACCCAATCCTAAATAATATTACAATTACACCATTTTAAATCAAAATAAAAAAAAATGCAAACCTTGTAACAAATAATTTAGACAAATTAAAGACAAAAAAAAAAAAAAAACATAACATTGAAAAATCATGTTAAACAATATAAATCATGTTTCCACTAATCAATAGTAATAAAAAAAATGTACAAGTATACTTGGTAAACTTACCATAAGTCAAGAAATTGGTCAATAGTCTCAGGAGAATCATCTTTGAAAAGTACTATAGTTATATGGCCTTTTGATGCATTTAGAACCTATAAAAATTAAATGTTTTAAACTAAATAAAAAAAGATATAGGGAAAGCAAAGAAATAAGATTTATGTAATTACACCATCGAAGATACTTACAGCATATCTAGGAAAATCATACTTCTTTGAATCCACAACTTCACCAACATGCTGAATCAAAAGATAAAAATATTTGGTACTTCAACAAAATACCCATCACTTAACATCATGCTTATTAGGAAGAAAAAACAAAGGGAAGGGAAAAAATACCTCAAATTTTGACAACCCAATTCTTGTTTGCTCCCTTAACCTGCTGTAATTAACAATGGAAACCAATTCCAAATAAATTAATTTTCAGAGGAATTAATAAAGATGAAAGAAAAAAAAATCAAAAGTGGATAAACTAAAAAAGAAGCACCTAAAGGAAAAAAAAAAAGGAAAACTAAGAAATTGTAATACATTTTTAAGCAAGCGGACCCTAGCAAATCACCTCATATCTGTGAATGACAGCTTCAAGCCATCATAGCTGTAAAAAAGCATTCCAATGAAGATAAATAGTCACAAATAAAACCTCAATATTTTATTAAAGTACAAATAAATTTCATTGCTACTTCTAAATGCATATTTGGACAAACATATCTAATCAAATTAAAATCAGTTAAAATAAAATAAAATAAAATTTTTTATTAAGAGCAAATAATGGTCTTCAAGTGCTCAATACAAAAGAGCACATGATAAAATCTACCTATAGCCCATTAATAACCATTTTTACTATGAAACAAACTATATCAAATTACCATAATAATTTGCTATAGAATTTGTCTTTTCTTTCATATTTTCCTCCTTTAAATTCATTAGGTCTTAAAAAAGCTAATTGAAGTTCAAACTAAGAATATACAATGGATGTACTATGCCCCTTATGAACATCAAAAAGAAAATTGAAAATAGGAGACTATTAAAGGAATTAGAAACCAATACATTTGTCACTTAAGAAATATTATGGAAAAGCTCCACTTTTAAGGAAACGCATAATACAGATAAACATAATTAAACATTTATCTTGTATGTAAGATTAAACCCTTAGGATAATGTAAAGAAGATTTGATATGAAAACAAAATATTAAATATGAATTATAATTCCACATATTGCAAAGGTTAGATGAAAATATTTCGAGATAACTTAAAGAAAAGATAATCCATTCAACATATTAGATCATTAATACAAAGAGTAATAGTTCTTACTTCAACAAAGAACTTCGAATATTTGGAAGGCCATTTATCATTGTCCTTTACAACAAACTTGCAAGCAACAATCTATGTTACTCATTATTATTAGCAATTGTAATTTGTTCAAAATATGAATATTAATACCATAATACTCCTAAACCAAATATCATATCTAACAATTTATGCTAAAATTCCTTTCAACTTATCATATTAAACATCTCTTAAATGGAATACCTTCAATAGCTCATGAAATATTTTTAATTCATTTACACTTTCTTTAGTTATTATTATTGGTATTTACAATTAGTTATTAATAAGTAAAAGAAAAAATAAAAGAAAAAAATAAACAAAAAGCTAAAATATGGCACATATTCAAAAATAATCATTTCATATAAAAAGTAAAATCATGCATTTTATTATTTACAATAAAAATTCTCAATTTTTAACAATTTCAACTATTATGCACTTTTATAAAATTCCCAAATTCTTCAATCTACAAAATAATAGAAACCATTCGATACTCTCATCTCCAGAGCTCATTTAATAGATCATACGGAGTTACAAAACCATTTAAGAAGGCTTCCATTATTTTTCAGGTCTGATTTAAACACTTCTTTCTCCATCATCCTTAACATCTTTCTAACCTTTTTATGACCCATGACCCATAAGTAACCCAAGCTACCACTTAAATCTAATGGACCTATTCGAACATTGTCAACCCCTTCAACAACGGTGATCTTTTCAATTTTTTTGACACCATCCACCATCTCAACCTGGCATATTATTAATAGATCCTTTATGTAGTTATTTAGATAGCTTTCTTTGACACCAAAAAAGGAAAGCAAAGTAAATCCCAAATCTTAGTTCTTCATGCAATGAGAAATACAAAAAAGAAACATTGAAAAACACATAAACTCATAAAAAAAACACTTGAAGAAAGCCAAACCCAAATATTCAAATGACAAGATTATCTAATGTAGTTCACTGAGAGCTAATAACACTAAACTTTTCACTCATCAGAACATAAGTAAGAAAGCGTTTCTTGGATAAAGAGTAAACATGATGAACAACATTATGAATGGAAAAACTTGCTTAATGACCTGCAGTAGAGTCATCAATGAATAGACCAAAGTTATCATGATCTTTCAGGGTATCAAACACATATGGCAAGTCATGATTTGCACCAAAGGAGTAGCCAGACCCAACTCCTAAATTAACAAGAAAACACAAACTAGGATTAGTGAATTTAAGAAGCTATGAGAAGATCTTGTAGTCAAGAGTTAAATTAACCAACACAAAAGCAAATTTTTAATATCAAGAAACAAGTAAATTCTTCGACAATTCGAGAAAAAAATGGGTAAACATGATGAACTAGTGTTATGAATGCAAAAACTTGTTTAATTACTGGCAGTAGAGTTATCAATGAATAGGCCAATGTTATCATGATCATTTGGGGCATCAAACACATATAGCAAGTCATGATTTATACCAAAGGGGTAGCCAGCCCCAATTACTAAATTAACAAGAAGACACAAACCAGGATGAGTGAATTTAGGAAGCCATAAGAATACCTTGTAGTCAAAAGTAAAATTGACCAACATAAAAACAAATTTTTCATACCAAAAAACTTCTAAATTCTTCGACAATTTGAAAGAGTAAACATGATCAACCAACGTTACAAATGCAAAAACTTGCTTAGTTATTGGCAGCAGAGTAATTAGTGAATAGGCCAATGTTATCATGATCTTTTGAGGCATCAAACCAGAATGAGTGAATTTAGGAAGCTATGAAAAAACCTTATAATCAAAAGTAAAATTAACCAACAGAAAAGCAAATTTTTAATACCAAGAAACATGTAAATTCTTTGACAAATTGAGAAATTAATAAGGAGTACACATGATGAACCAACGTTATGAATGCAAAAATTTGTTTAATTACCAGTAGTAGAGTCATCAATGAACAGGCCAATGTTATCATGATCATTTGAGGCATCAAACACATATGACAAGTAATGATTTGCACCAAAGGAGCAGCCAACCCCAACTCCTAAATTAACAAGAAAACACAAACAAAGATTAGTGAATTTTGGAAGCTATGAGAAGACTTTATAGTCAAGAGTAAAATTAACCAACATAAAAACAAATTTTTAATACTAATAAACATGTAAATTTTTCAACGATATTAGAAAATAATAAGTAGTAAACATGATGAACCAATGCTATGAATGCAAAAACTTGCTTAATTACCAGCAGTAGAGTTATCAGTGAACAGGCCAATGTTATCATAATCATTTTGGGCATCAAACACATGTGGCAAGTCGTGATTTGCACCAAAGAAGTAGCCAGCCCCAAGTCCTAAATCAACAAGAAAACAGAAACTAGGATGAGTGAATTTAGTAAAATATGAAAAGATCTTGTAGTCAAGAGTAAAATTAACCAACACAAAAGTAAATTTTTAATACCAAAAAACAAGTAAATTCTTCAATGCTTTGAGAAAAGAATAAGGAGTAAACATAATGAACCAACGTTATGAATGCCAAAACTTGCTAAATTACTGGCAGAAGAGTCATCAGTGAATAGGCCAAGATTATCATGATCATTTGGGGCATCAAACACATACGACAAGTCATGATTTGCACCAAGGACTAGCCAACCCTAACTCCTAAATTAACAAGAAAGCACAAACTAGGATGAGTTAATTTAGGAAGCTATGAGCAGACCTTGTAGTCAAGAGTAAAATTAACCAACATAAAAGCAAATTTTTAATACCAAGAAACATGTAAATTCTTCAAAATTTTGAGAAAAGAATAAGGATTAAACATGATGAACTAATGTTATGAAGGCAAAAACTTGCTTAATTACTGATGGCAGAGTCATCAACGAACAGGCCAATGTTGTCATGTCATTTGGGGCATCAAACCAGGATGAGTGAATTCAAGAAGCTATGAGAAGACATTGTAGTCACAAGTAAAATGAACCAACAAAAAAGAAAATTTTTAATACCAAGAAACATGTAAATTTTTCAACAATTTGAGAAAAAAATAAAGAGTAAACATGATGAACCAATGTTATGAATGGAAATACTTGCTTAATTACCTGCAACAGAATCATCAGTGAACAGGCCAATGCTATCAAAATCATTTGGGGCATCAAACACATATGGCAAGTCATGCTTTGCGTTAAAGGAGTAGCCAACCCCAACACCTAAATTAACAAGAAAACATAAACCAGGATGAATGAATTTGGGAAGCTATGAGAAGACCTTGCAGTCAAGAGTAAAATTAACTAACACAAAAGCAAATTTTTAATATCCAGAAACAAGTAAATTCTTTCACGAATTAAGAAAAGAATAAGGAGTAAACATGATGAACTAACATTATGAATGCCAAACGTTGCTAAATTACTGGCAGAAAAGTCATCAGTGAATAGCCAAGGTTATCATGATCATTTGGGGCATCAAACACATATGGCAAATCATGATTTGCACTGAAAGAGTAGTTAAACCCAACTCCTAAATTAACAAGAAAACACAAACTAGGATGAGTGAATTTAGGAAGCTATAAGAAGACCTTGTAGTCAAGAGTAAAATTAACCAACACAAAAGCAAATTTTTAATACCAAGAAACATGTAAATTCTTTGACAGTTTGAGAAAAGAATAAGGATTAAACATGATCAACCAACGTTATGAATGCAAAAACTTACTTAATTACTAGTAGTAGAGTCATCATCGAACAGGCCAATGTTATCATGATCATTTGGGGCATCAAACCAGGATGAGCAAATTTAGGAAGCTATGAGATGACCTATAGTCACAAGTAAAATTAACCAACAAAAAATAAAATTTTTAATACCCAGAAACATGTAAATTCTTTGATAATTCGAGAAAAAAATAGAGTAAACATGATCAGCCAACATTATGAATGGAAAAACCTACTTAATTACCTGCAGTAGAGTCACCAGTGAACAGGCCAATGTTATCATAATCATTTCGGGCATCAAACACATATGGCAAGTCATGATTTGCAGCAAAGGAGTAGCCAATTGCAACTCCTAAATTAACAAGAAAACACAAACCAGGATGAGTGAATTTAAGAAGTTATGAGAAGACTTTGTAGTCAAGAGTAAAATTAACTAACACAAAAGCAAATTTTTAATACCAAGAAACAAGTAAATTCTTTGACAATTTGAGAAGAGAATAAGGAGTAAATATGATGAATCAACGTTATGAAGGCAAAAGCTTGCTTAATTATCGGCAGCAGAGTCATCAGTGAACAGGCCGATGTTATCATGATCATTTGGGGCGTCAAACACATATGGCAAGTCATGATTTGCTTCAAAGGAGTAGCCTACCGCAATTCCTAAATTAACAAGAAAACACAAACCAAGATGAGTGAATTTAAAAAGCTATGGAAAGACCTTGTAGTCAAAAGTAAAATTAACCAATACAAAAGCAAATTTTTAATACTAAGAAGCATGTAACTTCTTTGGCAATTTGAGAAACGAATATGGAGTATACATGATGAACCAATGTTATGAATGCAAAACCTTGCTTAATTACTAGCAGCAGAGTCATTATTGAACACGTCATTGTTATCATGATCATTTGGGGCATCAAACCAGGATGACTGAATTTAGGAATCTATGAGAAGACCTTGTAGTCAAGAGTAAGATTAACCAACACCAAATGAAAATTTTTAGTGCCAAGAAACATGTAAATTGTTTAACACTTAGAGAAAAGAATAAGGAGTAAACATGATGAACCAATGTTATGAATGGAAAAACTTTCTTAATTACCTAAAGCAAAGTCATCAGCGAATAGGCCAATGTTATCATGATCATTTGGGGCATCAAACACATATGGCAAGTCATGATTTGCACCAAAGAAGTAGCCAGCCCCAACTCTTAAATTAACAAGAAAACACAAACTAGGATAAATGAATTTAGGAAGCAATGAGAAGTCCTTATAGTCAAGTGTAAAATTAACCAACATAAAAGCAAAATTTTAACACCAAGAAACATGTAAATTCTTTGACAATTTGACAAAAGAATTAAGGAGTAAACATGATGAACTACTGTTATGAATGCAAAAACTTAATTATTGGCAGTAGAGTTATTAGTGAATAGCCCAATGTTATTATGATCATTTAGGGCATCAAACACATATGGTAAGTCATGGTTTACACCAAAAGAGTAGCCAGCCCCAACTCCAAAATTAACAAGAAAACACAAACCAAGATGAGTGAATTTAGGAAAGCTATGAGAAGACCTTGTAGTCAAAAGTAAAATTAACCAACATAAAAGTCAATTTTTGATACCAAGAAACATGTAAAGTCTTCGACAATTTACGAAAAGAATGCATAAACATAACGAACTAACATTATGAATGCAAAAACTAGTTTAATTACCAATAGTAGAGTCATCAGATATATGGCCAATGTTATAATCATCATTTGGGGAATCAAACCTGGATGAGTGAATTTAGGAAGCTAGGAGAATACTTTGTAGTTAGGAGTAAAATTAAGTAGCACAAAGAAATTTTCAATACCTAGAAATATGTAAATTCTTCAATAATTTGATAAATGAATAATAAGCAAACATGATAAACCAACGTTATGAATGCAAAAATCTTGCTTAATTACCGGCACCAAAGTCATCAGTGAACAAGCCAATGTTATCATGATCATTTGGGGCATCAAACCAGGATGAGTGAATCTAGGAAGCTATGAGAAGACCTTGTAGTCAAGAGTAAAATTAACCAACAGAAAAGCAAATTTTTAATAACAAGAAACATGTAAATTCTTTGACAATTTGAGAATAGAATAAGGAGTAAACATGATGAACCAGCATTATGAATGGAAAAACTTGCTTAATTACCTAAAGCAGAGTCATCAGTGAACAGGCCAATGTTATCACGATCATTTGAGGCATCAAACACATATGGCAAGCCATGATTTGCACCAAAAGAGTAGCCAGCCTCAACTCCTAAATTAACAAAAAAACACAAACCAAGATAAGTAAATTTAGGAAGCTATGAGAAGTCCTAATAGTCAAGGGTAAAATTAATCAACACAAAAGAAAATTTTTAATGCCAAGAAACATGTAAATTCTTTGAAAATTTGAGAAAAAATTAAGGAGTAAACATGATGAGCCAATGTTGTGAATGCAAAAACTTGCTTAATTATCGACACTAGTGTCATCAGTGAACAGGCCAATGTTATCATGATTTTTTTGGGGCATCAAACACATATGGTAAGTCATGATTTGCACCAAAGGAGTAGCCAGCCCTAACTCCTAAATTAATAAGAAAACACAAACCAAGATGAGTGAATTTAGGAATCTATGAGAAGACCTTATAGTCAAGTGTAAAATTAACCAACACAAAAGCAAATTTTTAATGCCAAAAAACAAGAAAATTCTTTGACAATTTGAGAAAAGAATCAGGAGTTAACATGATGAACCAATGTTATGAATGCAAAAACTTGCTTAATTACCAGCAGCAAAGTCATCAATTAAATGACCAATGTTATCATAATCATTTGGGGAATCAAACCTGGATGAGTGAATTTAGGAAGCTATGAGAATACTTTGTAAGTAGGAGTAAAATTAAGTAGCACAAAAGCAAATTTCTAATGCTAAGAAACATGTAAATTCTTCGATAATTTGAGAAAAGAATAAGAAGTAAACATGATAAACCAACATTATGAATACAAAAGCTTGTTAAATTACCAGCAGCAGAGTCATCAATGAACATGCCAATGCTATCATGATCATTTGGGAATCAAATCAGGATGAGTAAATTTAGGAAGTTATGAGAAGACTTTGTGGTCGAGTGTAAAATTAACCAACATAGAAACAAATTTTTAATATAAAGAAACATGTAAATTCTTCGACAATTTGAGGAAAGAATGAGTAAACATGATGAACCAATGGTATTATGAGTACAAAAGTTTGCTTAATTATCGGCAGCAAAGTCATCAGTGAACAAGCCAATATTATCATAATCATTTGGGGTATCAAACACATATGGCAAGTCATGATTTGTACCAAAGGAGTAGTCAGCCCTAACTCCTAAATTAACAAGAAAACACAAACCAAGATGAGTGAATGTATGAAGCTATGAGAAGACCTTGTATTCAAGAGTAAAATAAACCAACACAAAAGCAAATTTTTAATACCAAGAAACAATTAAATTTTTCACTAATTTAAGAAAAAAAATCGAGTAAACATGATGAACCAACATTATGAATGCAAAAACTTGCTTACTTACCAGCAACAGAGTCATTAGTGAAGAGGCCAATGTTATCATTACTATTTAGGGCATCAAACACATATGGCAAGCCATGATTTACACCAAAAGAGTAGCCAGCACCAACTCCTAAATTAACAAGAAAACACAAACCAGGATGAGTAAATTTAGAAAGATATGAGACAACCTTGTAGTCAAGAGTAAAATTAACCAACATTATAAATAAGGAGTAAACATGATAAACCAACATTATGAATGCAAAAACTTGCTTAATTACCGACGACAGAGTCATTAGAGAACAAGCCAATGTTATCATGATCATTTGGGGTATCAACACATATGGCAACTCATGATTTACACCAAAAAAGTTGCTAGCCTTAACTCCTAAATTAATAAGAAAACATAAACCAGGATAAGTGAATTTAGGAAGCTATAAGAAGACCTTGCAGTCAAGAATAAAATTAAACAAGACAAATACAAATTTTTAATACCAAGAAACATGTAAATTGTTCGACAATTTGAGAAAATAATGGGTAAACATGATGAACCAACGTTATGAATGCAAAAACTTGCTTAATTACCAGCAGCAGAGTCATTAGTGAACAGGCCAAAGTAATCATTATTATTTAGGACATCAAACATGTTGGTCAATTCATGATTTGCACCCTTGGAGGAGCCAGCACCAGGAATATTAATTAGAACTACTAAATTAATAAGAAACATGTAAATTCTTTGACAATTTAAGAAAAAAGTAAAAAGTAAACAAGATGAACCAATATATATATATATATATATAGTTAGGCTAAAGGCCCAATCCAATTAAACAATAAATCTAGTGAAAGCATAATCAAACAATTAATAAACCATGCAAAAGACAATAATTTAATGTGATTCAGCTCAACTGGCCTATATTCACAAATGAGAAATAGAGATCTTTTAGCTGTAGAGAATTACAAAAAAATCAACAAATCAATCTCACTCACAATCAATACCCATAGACCCTCTCATTTTTTGCTAGTCTTATGGAGTATTCTTAATCCAAATAAACAGGTACCTATATGTATCCATTAACCATACCTGTGTAGACTCTCTCATTTTCTTCTATTCCACTCAAACATACACACAAATAAGAACTTTGTCAATCTTCTCTAGCCTTATAGAATGTCTATCCCATAAAATCTTATAACTCTTTTACATATTTTTCTCATATCTAACCTTATGGAGACTCTACCTATTCATAAGCAGACTAACTTGCCTATCAAAAATTTATTTTCTCTTAGAATTCTTCTTTTACAAGTTTTATTATCCATCAAGCAATATCTACCCAATCTCAAAGAAATCCCTAATGAGATTTTAGTTATTATTTTCAACATATATAATATATATTATATGATGATAAATATTAAAAACTCATTTATCATCGGCAGCAAGCTCATGAGAGAGAAGATTATTGTTTGGGGCATCAAACAGGGAGGGAAAGTCATGATTTGCAACAAAGGAGGAGCCAGCATATGAGGCAGTTATGTTGGTGTAGTCCGATCCTGCAAACATGTAAAGTCTATCAAGAGAATACCAAGCAATTTGATCAACAGTTGGATATATAATTACTACCAAAGCCCCATTTGCTGATCAAAATCAGGCAATATATACAAAGGTTGAAAATTTTCTGCCCCAGTCGTTCCCAATCCCACTAATTCGTTAGCACATGTTAAAAACAGTTTTTGAAGTTCACGCACCTTGCTCATAGGAATGCGACGTAAACCATTCTTGCGCCTGCAATAAAGAATAATATCTTCAGCACTCACCAGAGGACCCGAAACTCAAAAATAGTAAAACATAATTCGCATACCTTGTCAGTAGAATTAAAGTTTTGCCCTTGCAATTCAAGAGAAATAAATCAAAGAGCAGCAAAAATGGAAAAGTTTAAGATTACATATGAATAGGTCATACAATATTTAAAGCCAAGCTCAGCAAGCTGAGCCAATTTATTATTTGGGGAAAAGGAGATTTAAGTCTTAATTCTTTGAAAATAATTTTTATACAATATTTATTATTTAATGTGCAAAACAAAATTATTAATAAAGATAGATTTTTATAGAAATCATTAGAAATATAATGCATTTTTATGAGAAGAAAATTAACAAAATAATTTGGTTTAACAAAAGGTAAACCTTACCAACAACTCTTTTGATTTCGACGTACCTCAGTTCTCATGTACTATATTGTGATTTTTTTCGCTTTTTATATGAAAAGATTAAAATAATAATAGAAAATATAGGTGGCGTTTACCCTTCAATTTATAAAACATAAATTTTCTTTTATTAATTTTCCATCCTGTAGGAATTAGCCTCATCTGTGCCTGATTTGCTTCCTGAAAACACAAATATATTAAAAATGCGTATTGTTAGGTTACGCTTACTAATAGCACAAGTCTTCCTATTAATTTAGGAACTCATGATTCCCTTTTTTTTCTTTCTTTAAGTGGATAAATTTGAATTGCCTTTAATGTTATAGCCAAATTGTGTGATTCATAGTATGCATCCAATATAAATCTAATTGATAATAAGTAAAACGGCATAACTTAAATATAAAATCAAAGTAAATTTAAGATTTAACATATATAAGATAATATTATTTTAATATATTATCATTGCCTATAGATAAAAATAAAAACTTATTATATGACAAATTTAAAAAAAAAAAAAGATAATAATAACATGCAAAAACAACAAATCAGAAAAGTTGATTTTGATATTATATTAAGTATATATCTAACTTAAAATCAATTTGTTATAAATGAAGGAACCAACTTATATATAAAATCACAAGAAACCTATGATTTAACAGATGTAAAATAACAATACTTAAGAGATCTTTATCACAAAGTAGATGAAAATGGAAACACCAAGTTAACATTATATTATTATAATAACAGTCATATATTCAAGAACATATTACAATCATATGATTATGCTTTTAAGCTAACCAAAAACTAGCTAGTAGTTCAAAAATTATCAATTTGTTAGCCAAGTTTATAAGAAAAATATATTAATCAAAATTATACTTAAAAGGTATATTTTTTTGAACTATTAGTTTAGTATATAACTTATTTTGAACCACTAACCCTGTCATTCAAACTAAATTATGATTTTTTAGCTAACTATAAATCTGCTAGCCTTCAAAATATAATCTTCATCATCAAAATAAAATTGGGTTTCAGGAATTAACCACAAATGATTATTTTATTGCATAATCCAACCACATACAAACAAGGAAAGCAAGAAAAGCAAGAAAATGGTAGAAGATAATATTAATACTAGATGGATAGGGAGGGCGAGAGAAATGGCGGTGTGGCACCTGTTCTTCAAGAGCTCTCTTCAGTCGCTGCATTTCATTTTCCATACATTGCAATTTAGAGTTCTTTTCGTTCAGCTCCATGTTCATCCTCTGGTTTTCAGTTCGCATCTCTTCGGACTCTGCCAAAATTTTAAAGTACTCGGTCTCCACCTTTTCGAGTTCCTTGTACCTCATCTTTATTTATAAAACACGAAGCCAATATTAATCAAAGATATAAATAACCGGAAATTAATTAAAGATATAAAAAAGAATCTTTGATGGATAGAGATTAATTGCTTTACCTTCTTTTTCAGTCGAGAATTCACACAAATGGCATTATGTGCATCCTTTTCAGCTCGAGTTTTTACACGTTTGTTGCCTGTTTGTTTGTGTTTGTTGGTAGCCTTAGTCACTGCTGCTTCAGTAGCCCTGGAACTCACCATTTTTCGTGGATGGGAAGCTTAGGCGCGATACCTGAATCTTGGGATCTTTCCTGATCTCCAAATGAATCTTGCTTGTAATGATTCGTCGGAGCTTGGAAGAACAGATCAAAAACTGGATTACACCACTAAGTTGGATTTGCGGCAGTCAACTGCAAGAACAAGACAAACAAAAATGGAGAATGAAGGGAGAATCTTGGAGTCGCAGATGCATCTCCGATACCTTTGGAAAGCTAAATAAACATGGTGAAAGGAGAAAAAATATCAGAAAACAAAAAGGCAAGCCAATCAATCAATTACATCAAACTATTACCCTATAGGAACTATGGTAACCAATAAAACCGATAAAAATGAAAGATAATTTGAGGTACTTATAAGGGTGTAATGTTGACTTGATCTCGCGATTTGGTCGTAACAAAATTTCCGCTGAACATTATTATATATTATTAGAATATCGTTATGAATAATAGTTTATACATTTAATTATACATAAATATAAGTGAAATATTTGTACTTTCTCATAATATAAATATATATATACCAAAATCTTAAATGGGTAAAGGAAAACCACTTATTTTTTTACCGTTATATTTCATGATATCATACCAACGGCTTTCTCTTTTTTATCATTTTCAATTCTAGATCCAAATCTCCCATCTTTTCTCATCCTTTTTTATTGTCTTTTTTTGTTTAACTTTCCTTACCTTTGTCTTTATTCTTGGCTTTCACTCACCCGAGATTCCTTTTCTATTTATTCATCGTTATTTCTTTTCATCATTATACCTTTAATGACTTCAACAACTTTGTTTCATAATATATTATTTATTAAGTTTTCAAATGACTTTCAACAACCAGTCCTTTTTTATACCATCTTTTTTCTTTCCTAACATTTTTAACTTTATCTCTATCAAGTCAAATTTCAAAATTATTTGTTTTAATGTGACCAGATAACATTTTTTTTATTATGCAATAATTTAATAAGACATATTAATAGTACCATTTCAGTTCATCCTAAAACAATAACAAAAAATAATGAAACAGCATCATATCCTTCATATGCAGGTGGCTGAAGAAAGATCAATTTGTTCTCTCTTGCTTTAAGTCAACATTGTTGCCAAGTGCACTAGCACAGATCCTAGGTTTATCATCTTCTCACCAAATTTAGATAATTTTAGAAATTATTTTTCATCAGCAATGTCAAACAAAGCTAGATCTATTGCATGATGAATTGTAGAGTTTAAGTAAAGGAGCCATGTTTACTCTGAAGAATATCTTACTAAGATCAAATTTATTTTTGATAATTTCATAGCCATTTGACCTTGCTGTTGGTGCAACACCTTATGCCTTGTTTATCTAATTATCTAATTATATAATAAGTTTCTTCTTTTAGGAATCTCTTCTACAGCAGTCACTAGTGTTTTATTTCAGTTTCCTTTGAAATCAGTAAATAATTGGTGAAAACAGGAGAAGCAAAGACCTCAGAACTTAACTCTGCTTTTGCATTGAACCAGGGAGCTGGTTTTGGCACTTAAGTTCTTGAACATTGGTTTGTCATCCGGACTTCCAGGTTTTTTTGTCTCTTAATCTGACAGCGATAGTGTACTTTTTCCAGGATTTATTGCCAGGAAGACAAATGGTGCATATTAGGTTCTAATCTTGTAGATAATTAAATAGTTTGAATGCAGGATTACTTTATCTATTCTCCTCGTGAACTATAGGCAATAGGCAGGGATGTTTTAGCTTTTAAGTAAGGTCTTGTCTCATGAATATCCACTCTCTGTTTATAAATACCTTTTCTGTCTAGATTAGGGGGGTATGGGTGTTTACCGAAATCAGGGTTAGTGTTGTGGGTTTTTTAGTTCTTGATGTTTAATGAGAATAATCTCTTATGCAAGGGCTCCGGTGATGACGAGTATGATATGCTGCTGCAAGTCGTTCCAATTTCTGAAAGCTCCATTAACTGGAGCTTCATTGCGGAGCTAAACGCACTCTGAGGAGCACCCATCTCTCTCTCTCTCTCTCTCTCTCTCTCTCTCTCTCTCTCTCTCTCTCGTACTAGTACTAGTACTACTTTGTGCGCCCTTTACCCTAGTGTAAAGGGATCCTCACCCTCCATGGATGGGTAGCAATCAGTAATCAAAAGTTATCAAACTTTATTATTCTTTAACCTAATATTTGTTCAATTAAATGCCTAAAACCTGCAACGATTTTACCATGTCCTATAGGACGGTTCTAGTATTATAGTAACATAGTTTCGCACAACATGCAGAAAGGAAAGCCGAAAGATAAAAGATATATGAGATGGAACAAGCAAATTTTGGGTTGGCAGGAAAGCAGCCGAGCTTAAGCTGTTTTTGGATTCTGGATTGATTTCCTTCTTCAAGCTTCTCTTCTATTTTTCTCACCCAATTATTGATCAATTGGGCCACTAAAGCCAGCAGAAAGGCCCAATCGGCCGTCCTAAACCCTATCCTAACTGTCACGGAAGTCTGTCCATCGTGAAACAATTGAACCTAGTAACAACCTTAGACCACACAGCCCACACTTGCATATGTGTTAGAAGTGGGCGACGAAAGAAGGGGACTGCGTTCTTTTCTTGCTATTAGTGGAAGCGCCCATTGAATTGCCGGAGGTAAGATAAGAGTCGGGTGCCTGCCTAGCCTTGTCTGCTTAGCTGCCAACTGCATCCTTTAATATTGCTTTCCATCTAAAACACAGGAGTATACTCCTTGTCCTCTTAGAGTGTTTGGAATTTGGGGATTGGGAAAGACTAGAATCTCATCGGAACCCTTTTCCCTATCTAAATCTACGGAGTTATGTCAACTAACAGTGCGTTTTCTTGTTTCCTGAATCCTGACTTTTGCCATCCACAACTGATGCAATAATGATGAAGAAGACATCAATCATATGCTTTCTCTCGGTCAGCATCTATAGTAAAAAATTTTAGTACTCATTTAAATCAGTCCTTGTTCTGGATGTGTGAAGACACGGAGCAGACAACTTTTCCTTTGGCTTTCGTTGATGTTGTCATTGGAATCTCTAATTTCGGACTAATTTTGAGGAACACCCTTGAAATTAGGCTTTTTGATTCATAACGCTGAAAATTTGAAAAAGTTTTGATGATAATAACTCAATAAATTTCGAAAGCTGGTGGAGTCAACTACTTTAAAGAACTGACAAGTTGCTAATTCATACTCTCTCCAACTTGTATGTGGAATGCACAAGAGTTAAAGGAAATTGTGCAGTGGGTGGTGGTGGGGCATTGATGGATTATTCTTTCTTTTTCTTACCTGTTGATGGATCCTCTGATGATAGAGAAAGAATAGTCTAATTGGAATGTACTGGTGTTTCAGTAGAATATCTATGTTGTTTGTTTTCTTAGGAAATCAGAGGGAAAAAGAGAGACGACAGTATGCTTTGGGTATCAATTGGATTCTTTCCAAGCTGTGATGCCGTTTAAGGTAATATATATAATACAACTATCGTTTCACACAAAGAAGTAAATCAAGATTTTATTCTAATTCTAATAGGATTATGCATCTCAAAAAATAATAATAATAATAATAATTCTGAGCACATCCTCCACAAATTACAAGGTTGATTGAAGTTGAGTTTCTAGATAATAATAATAATAATAATAATAATAATATATTATTATTATTATTATTATTATTATTATTTTATTTATTGAATTGTGATTGAAGTTCGAATTTGAAATCTTTAATTTTAGAAATTGATTAAGTATCATTGAACTAATAGCTTATTGGTAACTTGTTTTTGAATCCTAAGCTGATCATATATTTGAATTAAGGACAATTCAAGTAACGAAAACTTATTCTAAAAAAAAAAAACCCAAAGTTCCTCAATTAGAGAGAAAAAAAAAAGCAAAGAAAAAAAAAGTAGGATGGAGCTTAATCTTTCTTTGGATATACTAATGGTTTAACATTCTTTTACACTTCTTTTCCCTTCTTTTCCCTTCTTTTGAGTTACATCGAATCCAATTTTTAAAGTTTGTAAGACTATATATATAGCTAAGGTAACGTCAAGTTTACAACCTTTTTCTTCTAAATTCTAGTAAGATACCCATTAGCAAAATTTTATACTCAAGTACACTAATCAATTGGTGGTGGAGAGATATATGATTAGTCTCATCAATTCAAAACGAATTTTATAAAACTTTTAATTTTAAAACTCTAAACCCTAATTTTAAGTGATTGAGGGAATCCTGCAAGATTCTTGGCACCAAAAGAAAAAGAGTGTGGCAATCATTGAAGTGTGTTAGTATTCAATGCATGACACAATTCATCTATGCTTTTGATATATATATATATATATATATATATAGGGTGTAACATAATGTAGATTGAGAAATGAGTGAGTGGGAAGTAATGGCCAAATGCCCAATTAAGCCTAGTCAAACAAAGTTGGCTAATGAAACACCTACACCAGAGGGAGAAACAGAAGATGTTTTTATATATAAGATATATAAAATGATTAATATAATCATATACAAAATCCAATGTTTGATCCTATTGATCACTGTATCCATTTGTACCAGACCAGTCCAAATGAAAACCACTTTTTGGCCAAAGGTTTTATCTGGGGAAGTCATTTTTTCAGATTAAAAATTTTAATTTATTTCATTAATCTTATATGGAAATTTATGTATCGTCCCAAGGTAAGCATTTTTTTGGCAAATGCTCAACCAAAAATGGATAGGGATATAGTAACAAATCATCTCTTCTGGTCTGATCAGCTACAAATCAATCAATGTCAGTAAAAAAGTAGGGTTGAAACTTGAAAATAGTGTAAAAGAAAAGTAGGGTTGAAACTTGAAAATTGTGTAGAAGGCTTTCTGCTTTAGAGATGCCAGTAATTTTATATTAGCATTTTTTTTTATATATGGCAAAACACTTTTTTGCTCTGCTTTGAGCTTTCCCTCTGGTTAAAAGGCTAAACAACAAAATAGAAGACCAGACCAGAAAGATCAGACAGATTAAAATTTGCAGATATTATTAAAGTATTGGTACGTGTGTGGGTGCTGACTGATGCACTTGAAGTCTGGAATTTGCTGGGGGTAGCAAGGATTCTGAGCTCTCGATTTACCGCATCGAGTTTTTGCCTGGCGGAATCTATATATGGTTGGGGTCAAACTAATAACTTTCATCCCCCTGTGCTGCTTTGGACAAAATTCATGGCTTCAAAGTTGTGCTTAAAGTTGGCCTTCAAAGAAAGTATCCCATCCCTCACTCTTACACAGTTAATTATTCACTAATGACAAGGTTTTCATTGGCAAATTTCTATACTTCGAAATTGACAAGATTTTTCTTTCTTTTTCTTGTTAGAAAAATGAACCAACAAAAAAAATAATAAAGGATTCTAATTAATGCAAACTAAGCTTATAAGAAAGGAAAAGAGTATATAGTATATGCTAATTAAATTTAAGATTGATAAGTAGTGTTATATTTTTTTTTATATAAAAATGTTACAGTCAGATAATAGAGAAATGGGTTAAGTATAAAATTATAAATTTCAAATATATTAAATATTATTTTTTAAGAATGATTGAATGAATTAAATTTTGAGTTTAAAATAGTAATATTTTTGTTAATTAACTAATAACTATTTGATTGAAGAAGCAATCATTTTTTAATAATAATCTAAGAAAAGGTCATCCATAAGAGCCAAAAATTAACCCACAATTCCCCATGTGAGAACATGAGTGAGATGTGGTACTGATAGATTGAGGAGTTTATATATTAAGAAATTAGATAATGAATAGATTTGAGTTGGTTGCTAGGTTTGTTTGGATTAATTAAAGAAATAAGATTGAAATAATACTATATGCAATTTAATCAATTTATAATAGCTTTTAACTTGATTTTTTTTTTTTAAGTTAAAGTTGATCAATTTAAAAAATTTTAGAAAACACATGAAAAAAATACCTTCCTCCATGTTATTCATATTGTAAAAAAAAAAAAACAACAACAACATAAAAATTCTAAATGAAAATTTAATCATTTACCCAATATTTCATATGTTAATCTCTCTGCGTTATTTATATAGTATTTTCTAATAAAAATAGTTCATTACCAAAAAAAAAAAAAAAAAAAAGGGGAAAGGTGATTTTTGAATGGGAAATTGGGAATTGGAAAAACGATTGACTAAAGAAAAACTTTTGTATCCCGAGGAAATACTAGATTCGAGGCCGTATAATTGACCGATCTGCACGTGCGATTCCCTTTGACGATTCTCACCTAGGCCCTCGTGCCAGCGGTTTCAGTCATTTCAATTAATCGCCGACCCGTTTCCAACCAACGTGCACGACGAGTCAACACTTAGACTAGTTTATTCTTCTTTTTTTTTCTAATTTTTATAAAAGAGATAAAAATAAAAATTTATTAAATATTATTTTAAAATAATTTATTAAACAATCGAATTAAATTTTAATTATTTATTTATTTATTTTTTACATGGAAGAAATCTCCTTCCCTCCCTCCCCCCCTTTTTTTCCCCTAATATTGTACTATTTATTTTATGTCCTTTTGTTTTTTTGTTCTAAAGCTTTATGTTATGATCATCATACAACTAGCCTACCTATAATAATTTTGGATTTTTCGCTCACCTATTTTTTCATCTTCTCAATAAGATTAAAACAACTTTTTAAAAGTCCAATGACACTCATATAATAATAGAGGTGCATGTGGACATTTTGAGCACAAAATATGGCTTTAATTTTATCGAAAAGTCTAATGAAATCTCCGATAAAGATCATGAAAACCTTCTCTTTATAACGTTAGAATGCCTTTTTTTTTTTACTAAAAAAACAAGGGTCAAGTTCAGTTGCACCATTTTCGGCTCCTTGAATACTTGATTTAAATATATTTTTGACAAAGTTAATTAACTATCACGGTTATTAGTGCATATATATATGTTGCTAATCAAACTTAAGTTGTCGTAAATGAATTAAAGCAAACGATGCATTACATCATTGTTGTGGCATTGTTAGAATCAAACCTCAATGTTTTTTACGTTATGATATAGTAACAGCGGATTAAAGTGATACTTAAAGAATGAAATAATGATTAAAGTATTTCTTAAATTAAATAAAAAAATACATGAAATACACTTTTTTTAAAATAGTAATACTTATAGTTACCCGCTAATCGAATTGGCAGAGTAAAATTCTCCAACAATTAAAGAAATCATTAACAACTAAAGATTGATAGTTATTTAATTTAATAATCATTCTTTTAAATTAGACCCCAATTTTATCATGCATATTTTAATTATCATTAATTAATCAAATGAAAAACATATATATATCTATATATATTAAAAATAAAATTATTTTATTTATCTTATTAATAAAATAAATCGTCCAATCCACTTATCATGTATAAAACCTATACAACAATAAATATCAACTCTTAATTTTTTTCCTTTCTCATTTCTTTCTATGTTGAAATAAATGCAAAATCTGACAAAATCTAAAACAGCCGTGCATAACTTTTTTTTTTTTTGGCAGCTCTATCTTGTGTGTTGTCTTCAGTCAACTTTAAGCTCTCAAAAAATCATATCGAAAAAAGGTAGAAATGCTAGAGACTGTGAAGTACCTGATCGGCTCAACAGGAGCCAGCGGCTTCGGGTCTAAGTCAACCGCCGAGCAAGTTACCGAGACTTGTCCTGTTCTCCGCTCCATCACCGCCATCATCACAGGTAATGAATGAAAACTTTTTTTTTTTTTGTTTTTTTGGTTTGATTGTGAGAGGTTGAATCAGGTGCGACGTCGGGGATAGGAGCTGAGACTGCAAGAGTGTTGGCCAAGAGAGGGGCGAGGTTGGTGCTTCCATCTAGGAACCTTAAAGCTGCTGAGGAAGTTAAGGCTAGGATTGTTTCGGAGTTTCCGGACTCGGAGATCCTTGCCATGGCTCTTGATCTTAGTTCTCTCACTTCCGTTCGAAACTTTGTGTCGGAGTTCGAGTCACTTAACTTGCCCCTGAATCTACTCATGTAAACTCCTATACTCTTCAGTTCCCTTAACTTCTACTTGATGTTTGGTTTGATTAGAAACCTAAAAACACAGTTAAATTTCAGTCATAACATGACTAGAATGAACTAACTGTCTTTGTTGGATAAGAACTATGTTGGGTTTGTTAGAACAAAGTTGAAACTTCAGCTTGAATGAAACAAGACAACAAACCTTTCTGTTTATTGAACTAACGCAAGCCTTTTTTCCGTTGATATCAGAAACAACGCCGGCAAGTTTGCTCATGAACATGCAATCTCTGAGGATGGAATCGAGATGACATTTGCCACTAATTATCTTGGTAATTATGAAACTTAATTATTTAAATTCTTGTATCTTATAGCAGTATGTATTTTTCCAACTATAGCTCAAATTTTATTATATAATTAACTTTTAGGTCATTTTTTGTTGACGAAACTGTTGCTAAACAATATGATCGAAACGGCAAAGCAAACTGGCGTTCAAGGAAGAATAGTGAACGTGTCGTCAAGTATTCACGGTTGGTTTTCCGGCGATATGATCCGATATCTAGGCCAGATTTCGAGAAGCAAAAGGTGAGAGCTGATCAGAACTGAGAAAAGGAGAAGGGGAAGGAAAGAATCAGGGAAACTGTGATCATTATATTATCATTGACAATCAATCAGAGAACATAATAGATTTGATTTTTTATTTGGCATTTCTATCGATTTTTATTTCATGCGTTTTTTTTTTTGTCTGGGTGTCTGTCTCCTAGTCAATACGATGCGACACGTGCTTATGCTCTCTCGAAGCTCGCTAATGTTTTGCATAGCAAGGAGCTTGCTCAGAGACTAAAGGTGATCCATTATTACATATGTTTTCTGTTTTATTGTTTCAGGCCTTCCCAAAAAAAGCGAAATTTTGTTGTTTTCTTTTCATATTGTTCACCAATTGTGTGCCTTATAATTGATTTTTTTTTTTTTTTTTTGGGGGGGGGGTGGTGGACTCAATATTTCAGCAAGTGGATGCCAACGTGACTGTGAACTGTGTTCATCCAGGGATTGTTAGAACCCGTCTCACCAGGGAACGTGAAGGCTTGATCACAGGTATAAGAAAATAGTACCATTCGTCAAACATTGGGGTTTATGATTTAAACTCTCTCTCTCAACAAAATCTGATCTTTTAGTTACTACTATAAACCTGCAGATCTGGTTTTCTTTTTAGCTTCCAAGCTCCTGAAGACAATTCCTCAGGTAATTACTTAATATATCTAAGAAACATTTGAATTGATTATTCATGAAGTGGAAATGGGAGATTTTGATGGGAAATGAGCTTTGTGGATATATTGTTGCAGGCAGCTGCTACGACTTGCTACGTTGCAACGCATCCAAGACTAGTAAACATAAGTGGGAAATACTTTGCAGACTGCAACGAAGCATGGACGTCGAAACTGGGTTCCGATTCGAATGAAGCTGCAAGGCTATGGGCTGCCTCTGAAATCATGGTTTCCAGAAACGCTAAAGCAGTTTTTGATCCACTTAATGCCTTTGATTTCCTGATATATATGTAGGAAAGTGAAGAAAAAAGACTAGAAAACAGACACAGAAAAAGAAATTATCTTCGTTGGAAGATCAGGAAAGATGATAGGAATATATAGTATGTATACATCAGTTAAAGACAAATGAGATATCCAAGGCTTATGTTCGTAAAGTTATAGGTATGTTGGTTCTTAGTTGGTACATTTTAGGAAGTTTACATAGTAATAGAATCAGATACTATTATTACATCTGCCGATGCCCCATACTACATTTATTTTGTTTATTTTTAACATAATTTGAAGACGGATTATCATGCAAGTGGAACTGTATAGAAGAGGAAAAAAAAAAGGTATTGATAATTGTAAAATGATTATGGAGGATGGTTATGTTAATGAGTTAATGGGTTTTGATTTGGAATCATGAAAGTGGTTGGAAACCCTAATGATCAGGATTAATAGATATATATTAATATACTAAAAAAAATAAAAAGAATGGAGAAGAGAGAATAAGTGGGCAATTAGAACATGGGGTGAGTTAGGATCATGTGGTGGATGATTTTTGAAGAGGATCTTTGGGGTAATGCTATTGGGCCTACCAACATGCGTCAGGGGATTGGGTGGTGGAAGGGAAACATCATGTGTCTAAGGAACAAAAATTCCACCTTGAGCAAATTTACCATTTAATTGACAACAGGGAAGCCTTTTTGGAGCTGACTGCACTTGAAGAAGCAGGCCGCATGCCTGGCTTAGCAATTCGCAGCTAGTAGCACCTGCATGGCCTGAAAAGCTGAGGCTGATCAAGCGGCGGCCTATTCAATTACTACAAAGGATTAAGTTTTTAATGACATTTTTTTTATATTTAGTAACGTATATAAATATTATTAAAATATTAACAACGTTTGTCAAAAACGTCATTAAAAGTGTCATTTATACCTGTATCAAAAAAAATAATTACATTTTAAAAAAAAGCGTGCTAACTTAATTACGTATTTATCATAAAATGTTGTTAAATTTAGAGGTGTTTATAGTAAAAAAATATTACTAAATTAGTAGTGTTTATAATAGAAAGCGCTATTACATTTTGGCATTTAGAAGCGTTTTTAGGTATAAACGTCACAAAATTAAAAAAATTTTAATTTTTTTTAATATTGATTATTATTATTATTAAATAAAAAATATTAAAAAAATAAAAATAAACTTAAGTTCATAAACTGAATATTATAAATACATAATTTGTTCTAATATGAATGGAACACAAAGTTTAATACATGCAATAACATTCAAGTTATTTTAGTACATTAATAAAAAATTTAAAATGTATGGAATTGATGACTGCATAGATTTGAAACACTACCATTTGTTGAAAGATTTTTCTCACCTTGGTCACTACCATCTTTTGTTGTTGATAGTTTTCATGCACAACAAATCCTTTCAAGCAAGATTAAGTCATTTCATCACATATCATGATCTAGAAAAATAAACAAAATAAATGCTAAGATGAAATTAAAAAAAAAAACATAATAGACTATTTCAGAATGTTTTCCTAAAGATATCTTGAATGAATCAACAAATTCATGTTAACAAGTAACAATTTTTTAGTAATTTTTTGTTGAAAAAAAAACTAAACCTAAAATTTCATTCATGTTTATAACTAAATTCAACATTTAATTTCAAGTTTTTCAGAGAAAAATCATATTTCTTTCACTTTCTGTTCTATCTTGATTTTTTCTCATCAACCAAATAAAATTAGACCCAGAATTGCAATAACAAAATAAATTAGTAAAAAAAGAAAAAAAATGATCAAATACGGAAACTTGCCAATGTTGAAATAGAGCTTATCAATAGAGCTTGAACGGCGGCAGAACAGCAACAAATCAGAGAGGAAGTTTAAGAAATTGACCCAATAAATCAGACTGAAAGCTTAAGGATTTGATCCAAAATGCAAAAAGTTAACATGAAATTTGTGAAAATGAAAGGAAAAAAAATGAAAATTGATTGCAAAATGACTAAAACTTAGGCATAAAATAAAAAGAAAGCGACCCAAAATGAGCAAAAATGGATGAATGAGTAAGGAAAAGAAAAGTCAAAAGGGATCTCATGGGTTTGAAATTTAAGTAAAATTTAACAACAAGAAAGTGTGATTATTGAAGGTATTTTTAGCTAAAAACGCATTTAATAATCCTCTCTAATTTTTTTTTAGATTATTTAAGGTGTTTCTAACTAAAAATACCTTTAATAATCCTTAAAATAATTTAATGGGATTATTCAAGGCGTTTCTAACTAAAAGCACCTTGAATAATCTCGTTTTATTTATTTTTATTATTTAAGGTATTTTTGACAAAAAATACCTTCAATACAATAATATTTTCTAATTTGTTTGAAGATTATTCAAGGTATTTCCAGCTAAAAACATTTTGAATAATCTCCTTTCATTTTTTTTTAAATTATTTAAGATATTTTTTGCTAAAAAACACCTTTAATAATCCCTTTATAAAAAATTGAATATGGTTATTCAAGGTATTTCTGGCTAAAAAAGCTTTAAATAATATCTTTCATTTTTTGAATAATTATTCAAGACATTTTTTGCAAATAAAAAAAACACCTTAAATAATTTCTTTCTATTTTTTTGAGATTATTCAAGACGTTTTTAGTCAAAAAATACCTTGAATAATCCTTTACAAAAAATTAAATAGGATTTTTCAATATGTTTTTGGTAGAAAATGCCTTGAATAATCTCTTTTCATTTTTTTTAGGATTATTCAAGGCGTTTTCTACAAAAAAACACTTTCAATAATCTCATTTTATTTTATTTATTATTTAAGGTATTTTTTGTCAAAAAATATATTGAATAAGCTCCTACCTTTTTTTGAGATTATTCAAGATGTTTTTAACAAAAAATGCATTAAATAATCTCTTAAAAAAATTAAATGAGGTTATTCAAGGAGTTTTTAGTCAAAAACACATTGAATAATTTCCTCTAATTTTCATTGAGGATTATTTGAGGCATTTTTGCACTACTTAAAAAACCTTCAAAATGCTAAAGGAAATAATCAAACCTAAGACCTTATGATTAATAGTCATATGCTTTAACCAATTAAACTGCTCCAGTTTTTTAAGTAAATGATTATTCAAGGCATTTATAATATAAAAGTCGCTAACATGTGTTTTTGTACTCTTTAAAAAATATCACAAAAATATATTTTCAGTGACATTTTAAAATCCAAACGCTGCTATATAAGAATTTAGTGTCATTTTATAAAAAAATATCGCTAACTTTATAAAAACATGAAACTTTATGACGTTTATTTAAAAATATCACTAAAAAATAGTCATTAAATCTCTATTTTTCTATAATGAATGCTCATGATAGACAATGGGAATTGTAGACATTAGCTCTATCACTATGCAATGTAGACTATAGATACAAGGTATATATTAAAACCAGTTATAGAACAAAACCTAGTCTCGAGGGTTATGTGCTATTAGAGGTTTAATATTTTAAAGATATATTTGAATTAACGAAATTAATTTTGATAATTTTAAAAATAGCATTGGAAGTGAAATTAAATATTTTAATGATGAAATTAAAATAAAAAAATGATATATGTGTTTGAATACAAATATAATGATAATAGTGAAATGAATTATAATAAAAAAATAATCATTAAAAATATCAAATTAAAATTTATGTATAATGAAAATTTTAAATTGTCATTTATAAAATTAATAAATAATTAAAAATTATTAACATGATTTAAATATAAATACAAAATAAAAATAAAAATTACACTTATAAAATTATACATATTATTTAACAAAATAATATTAAATATATGAAATATAAAATATAAAATATAAATAAAAACGAAAACAAACAAATTAAAAAAAAAGGGGATATTTTAGGTAAAAGGTCAATCCAGTTAGCAACTGAACCTTTTTGTTCCATTCTAAAATTATTACTGCAGTACAGTCCTTCAGTGCATTGATTGTTATCCAAACGATCTAACTCACCGAAAAGGTTCTTAGCCTCACCACAGGAAGAAAAGTGAACCAAATGGAGCCAAAGAATTCAAGGGCGGTAGAGTTTTTATGAATTACGAAACAAAGAGTCAAAGCTTCCTAACTCTGTTCCCCAGTAACATGTATTATGCGCTTCTTCTTTATTTATGGATATACTATATGTATGATGAATTAAAAAACTATATAGTTTTTTTTTATTCTCATTTTTCAAAATGATCATAGCATATTGATGATATGCAATTAATATTTAATAAATATTTAAAATACATAAAAAAATAAATATTTATATTTAATTTATTATTAATATATAAATGATATACATTATCCATACAGTACAAATTATCACATCATTTATTAGTAAATTTAAAATTTTACAGTTCTTAAAAATATCTTTTAATTCTTTATTTTGTGGTGTTTAATGTGATATTTAATTTTTAAACTTTTATAAGTTTTAATTTTACTAATTAATTAATGAGATAATGCAATGATAGTGAATAATAAAAATGACAAAAGAAATTAAAAAAAAAAAAGTGTACGCAACTATTTATAGTTATTGGGCCCAAAATTTATAATTATAAGGTTCGTTGGATTCTGAACTTTTTTTTTTTCACTTCCAATTTCCAAGTTGTTATGGATCCATTTTCTTAGCCCAAAAGAATCTAAAACCCTAAACCCCTGAAACTGAAAACCCTCCGTCATTCCTCTTGCAGAAGCGAAGCCCCGATTCCAAAAATGGCGTCCTTAATCTCAGAAACGACCCAAAAAATCTTCACCCCTGAGAACCTTCGTACTGCCGCCAAACAATCTGAACGCTGCCTCGTCGTTCCCGTTCGCCTTCGCCGAGCCATCAAAAAGTACCTCCGAGGTAATCTATCTATCCGTGTGAATCTAATTACCAGTTCGATATTTTCAAATTCAAAAGCTTTTCTTGTTCTTTTTTGGGGGTTAATGATGGTGGATTATAGAACAAGAGGACCCTTACATGCGGAGAAAAGTGTTGCGGTTATCGCAGTCGTTTAGCGAGATTAAAGATGTGAATCTGCATCTTGTGGCTGAGACTTCAAAGGAGCTCGCCGAGGATCCTCTTAAGTCAATGGAGCAATCAAAGAGATGGAAAATCAAGAGTGCTTATGGCGATATCGGTCTCACTTATAGAGATGATGAGACTGTTGCCTATGTTGCTTCCAGAATGCCCGCAGTTTACTCTGCTTGTTATAGGGTCCTCAGTGAGGTACCAAAATTTTACTCCTCTAAATTGCAACCTTAATATAATTAAAAATAGTGGAACTTTTACGTTAAAAATTTGTGCCATAATTGCCAAAGGTTGATCATTTCTGAGCATTGTTATGTATAGAGGTGGAGATTAGTATTTTGCTACTAATTTTGGGGAAGCTTTTGTTGTTGGCACTTTTGCTAGGTGAGGAGAAGGTTACCTGGTTTTCTTCCAACAAAAGTTTTGGATTTTGGGGCTGGCACTGGTTCAGCTTTCTGGTGGGAATTTATTTGCTTTTATATCTGCTAGAAGCTATTTGCAAATTGGGCGTCTTGAAGTTATATAAAATTTCTTACAGTGGTGAAGGTGAGCTTTGTGATGTTGTAGGGCAATGAAAGAAGTCTGGCCTAAATCTGTGGAGAAAATAAACATAGTGGAACCATCTCAATCTATGCAGCGTGCGGGTCGAAGTCTTATACAAGGTAATTAGTGCTCTTCACATTTTCAGTCATTAGAGAGATAACAAATTAGCACTTTGGTTCATTATGTTTATATGAATGATAACTTTGGAAATTTAAAATATTGGATATTATTACATTTATGATTGATTATAAGCACATTACATCTTAATGATTTATAACGTGTGTCTTTGGGCATGCATGTAAACAGATGGTAGGAAATAGTTGACATTTCTTAATGTATATGATGATGATTTCTTTTTGATGATATAATAGATATGGAATTATTACAAGTGAGCATAGAGAGGTTTCATTGTCTTAACACTTGTGTAGTAAATTTATTGAAGGCATAGTTGGGCAATTTCTGATATTTTTATGTCATTTCTGTATGTTTCTTTTTAGGCCTGAAGAACTTGCCTCTTATTCATAGCTATACTAGCCTTCAAGCATTAACCAAAGGGATCAGTAAGTTTGAGAGGGAACACGACCTTGTAATCGCTGTAAGTTTGTAACACCCAAATTTGTCACTGTCTTGCCTTGGCTCTCATGTGGCCTATTAATGTTTCTGTTCTGTTTACTGCTTTAATTGCTGCATGCTGTGAATAGTTAATGTAATTCTTTTGGATATATATGCCTTTTATTGGTACTAACAAAATAAAATGCCTCTTTTGATGGGTTGAAGTCTTATGTGCTTGGAGAGATACCATCACTGAAGGACCGAATTACAATTGTGCGCCAACTTTGGAGTCTGACACGGGATGTCCTGGTATGTTCTTGGAATGGTTGACGTATTTCTTTCATAGCATATGTTTGCAGGGGGAACATCAGTGATTTTGAATTGCTCTTTGTTCTGTGTATGAGAAAACAAACTAATGTATGCCATTCATGCCACCTGACTTGTAAGCCCTTCCTGCACTCAATGGGATGAATTAAGGCACCTGGACAATGACTTGCTAATTATAAGTTGTTATCCTTGGAGTATATTTATTTTGATCCTTTGTTGTCCATCCTATTTATTCCAGTTTTTATAAAATTTGATTGTTGGCAGGTCTTAGTTGAACCAGGAACTCCACATGGATCTAATATTATATCCCAGATGCGATCTCACATACTGTGGATGGAAAAAAGAGTGAGTTTTTTTTTTTCAGCCTTTTTTTTTCCTGTTGAAAATAAATTTGGTAATTTGTGTGACTACTTTTTGTTTCATTTGTGGATGTTCTTTCTCCCCATGCTTATTATATGATACCTTAGTTATGACTTCTTAGAAATGCCGTAAAGCCAAGGTAAACAAGGAAGATTCTAAGGACCTTATTGATCTTAGAAGTGGTGCATTCATTGTTGCTCCAGTAAGTACGATGTTTTGTCCTCTACTTTCCCCTTTTTCCAGACTAAAAACTGCTGCACCATCTTATATATTTATTTTTCTTTGCTTAAAGGGATAATTAACTTAGAAACTTTCTTGATGCAGTGCCCTCATGATGGGCGTTGTCCATTGGAGAAATCTGGAAAATACTGCCATTTTGTTCAACGTTTGCAGAGGACAACTTCACAACGTGCATATAAGGTTTCTCCACTATTCACTTATTTATCATTTGTCAACTTATCTAGTATTCCATGTAAATGCAAGTCAGCGAGGGTTAATGCTGGGAGCTTATAATATATATTTTTTATTCTGCCATTCTTTCTCTCTGCTTAAGATTTAGTATTTTTTTTATATTAATGAGCTAATCTCCTTGTGACATACCTAGTTCCATACTATGTTTATTTCTCATGGTGGCTGTACAGCAAAAGTTGAAGTATATATTTGACATTGGTATTTATATATTCTTTGGGGAAATGGAAGGGTTCAACTTGAAAAGATCTGAGTAAGGAAATTTTCATAGGTCTCAACTCTCTTAGTCATCACTATTTTGTAGCGTTCCAAAGGTGATCCTTTACGTGGCTTTGAAGATGAAAAATTTTCTTTCGTTGCTTTCAGAAGAGGACAACGACCTCGGTTAGTATTCTTAACTGCTTTGTAGATTGGGAAATTTATATAAATGCTTTTCTTTTCATTGATTTGAAGGTCCAGCAACGTGTATGTTTGTTGGTTTGAGTAATTACTGTTGAGTTCATTGCTCAAAACCTCTGAAGTGTCTTAACCATTACCACAAACCTTCCACCCACAAACTTTGAGTTGTTTCATCTATTATCTCGTATTGTTAACGTTAGCCATTATTAAAATTTAAAAGGGAATCTTGGCCTCTTGATGGTATGACATTTGAGACTTTGAAAGAGCAGCGTGCTAAGAGGAATCCAGAAGATCTTGAAATTGACTATGGTATTCTTTTCTCCATCTCTCATTCTCCTTTTTCCCTGTTTTTATCTTTATTGCACACTTTCTTACACTGATTCTCTGTATTTAGGAGTGCTCTTAATTCTGGTTTTTTTTTTTTTTCAAAAATCTGCTTTTAACTTGGACAGAGGGTCTAGTTAATATAGAAGAAACTGCTGATATCATTCCATATGAAGAAGTGGATCCAAGTGCCTATGACTCTGATGTTATGGAAACTGATAACGTGAATGATACTTATGAAGATCAAGATCAAGATCAAGAAGAAGAAACAGTTAACGCTGATCTTGGGGGCGGTTGGGGAAGGATTATCTTCCCTCCTGTTCGGAGAGGCAGGCAGGTTCACATGAATATTTGTCGACCCACAAATCAAGATGCCTCAGAGGGTTCATTTGACCGTGAGGTTTTCACACAAAGTAAGAATCCAACTTTGCATCATCTGGCCCGAAAGTCTTTCTGGGGTGACTTGTGGCCTTTGGGAAGGAATGTAACAAGAACGGTCTCATGATTACGAAGGTGAAAGGCAAAGGATATTATAAAGCTAAAAGCTAGTTATGCTGTTTTTCCTCTGTAACTACAATTTGCTTCCCTAACTCCAGGTTTATGGGATGGGAGAAAGTTATTATTATTTTTTGTATAGTTCAAAACCGAATAATTATTAGGGCTTTCACCAGTATCAAAAAATAAATTTAAATTTTTTAATTGTTCAAAAAATAACAGTTACATTTAAATGCAAAAAAAAAAAAAAAAAAAATCTTCTGAACGAAGAGAAACAAAAGTAATACTACTAACGAAGAAAATGGAACATTATTGCTTTATCATTATAAAGTTTCAACGATTATATGGTGTCATATGCTTGAAGCAAATTAATGACATTTCTTGGAGAGTGTTGCTTTTACTGCATTTTTTTTCTTCTAGCACAATATGGTTGAAATTTAATGGCGGCAGGCCAACAAGAACCACGTCTGGAACTGGATGGCTTCTTTCCGAGAAACGGAAGCTAGGACCACGTACCATTTTCTCTTCCAACAATTTTGGGAATGAAGTTGTCCTGTTTCAAGAAGTTTGAGTGAGTAGTTCACCATCTAGACTAGGGCCTGCCGCATGTGGTCCAAACCACAGTCCCAAGTCATCTCTTTTTATGTCTCGTTAAATTGGATGGAACATCGTTCACATATGCACAGATCATATAGGTGAGACTTGGCTTTTCTACCCAATAGAAGAATGATCAAGAATTTGGCATAAAATTATTAAGAGAAATTCCTATATTTTAAAAACTATTCTTATTTATATACTAATAATTTCTGAATTCTGATGTACTTGGTTTGGAGTTCAAATTTTCAAAGACGGCTAAGGCTTCCAAGAAAAAGTCATGAGAATTAGGTTAATTAGCAACCAAAATCCCTGGGATCAGCTGAATGATTGGGGCGGCTCTGGTTGTACCAAATTCCCACAGGTAATATCTAGTGAATGGTATCTACAACTGAATGACATGACTGAAACACTGGCATCACTGTTTCCCCTTTTTTCCTTATTATTCTTCTGTTTATTATTCGACCCAAAGGGTGTTTCAGTTACACCCTTTTTTTTATAAATAATTTTATGTATCTATTATTATTTTACAAATCGATTTACTGCTTTTTGTGGGGGGTTGATAATTTTATTTGACATTAACTATATTGGGCAGAAAACAAATGGTGCGGTCAAATCAAGAGAGAATAAAAAAAAGGGGTCTCTTTCTCGACAGTGTCATCTCCCTTAAGAAGCTGCTGGTATTCCTCAAAAATGTCTTCAAGCATGTTAGTATCATCTCCAACTGGTGTTTCATCTAAAAATGTAGCAGCGTCAAAACCGCAGTAAGGAAATTCTTGATCTTCATCACAAACCATTGCCTTTCCGATATACTTAGTAGCACCTGCAATGCCAGAGCAACATGCAGGAAAATCAAAAACTTGGATATCATTAGCTCTTCTGCTCCCTTCTGATCCCCAGTTAGATGATCCACTTATCATACTGTCAAAACTGTTGCTCCTCGTTATTACTGAAAATTTTGAAACCCTAATGGCTTTTGGCTGATGCACTTTGGTCGTCACGATTGGAGTAGTCCCTTCTCTTGCAGTGCTCTCTGGTTTGTCCTTCTTCTTTTCGGTGGTCTTCTTGCCTTTACGATTGTTTCTAATTGATGCTTCTTTGGAGGTTTTTGAATTGGTTTCGGAATTTTCTACTCTTTTACTCAGATGAGAATTCCAATAGTTCTTTATTTCATTGTCTGTCCTGCCTGGAAGTCTTTTGGCAATGAGAGACCAACGATTGCCTAGAAGAGAATGAAGCCTGATAATGAGATCATCCTCATCAGGAGTGATGTTTCCTCGCTTGATATCAGGTCGCAGATAGTTCATCCATCTTAGTCTGCAGCTCTTCCCACATCTAAGCAGCCCTGCAGAGTGCATTGACCAAAACAGTTCGCACTCCAAAAGACAAAATCAATGAAATTGCAACAAATCAATCCTATTATATCTTGCTTGGTGAAAATCAACTACAAAAAAAAAAAAAAGAAGGAATCCAACGACCAAGAACTAGAGAAAAGAAATGCTAGTGCAAAAAAAAAAAAAAAAGTGCAAGAGCAAGAGAATTACCAGCCCTTTTAGGCAAAGATCTCCACTGACCTTCACCATGAGCCTGGATATAATTAACCAGCAATGTGTCTTCTCTAGCTGTCCAAGATCCTCTGTGCAAACCCACCTTGGAACAACACGGGGCTCTTCCCATTTTTCACTTTCTTTCTAGGATTCCAAAAAGGAGAAGATGTAAACCGAAAGAGAGAGAGAGAGAGAGCACATGACACTACAAAGCTGCCCCCACTCCCTTTTAAAGCCATCAAAGTGAGACCATTATTCCGGCAATAGTACTGTACATATCAGCTTATTAATCATTCAAGTATGCATAACGATAGATCAATTTGGTATTTTTCTCTTTTTTTCAAACATCAATTTCCAAATTCCTGTCAAAATGTGCATGTTCAACAACCCTTCTCATTTATCTGTCCTTCTTTGCCCTAGATTGTTCCCTGTGCTGTGCATGCGCCTGGAATATTTTATCATATTTTCCACGCACACGATAAGCATGGATTAAATCTTTGATTAATCATTTTCTTTTCTATCTATCCCCATATATAATTTCCAGAATCCCATTATTTTTCCTGTTCCTAATCGCATTTTAAAACTCCAATGATGAATGTGTACGTTAAAAAAGAATTAATTTCGTAGAGTTTATCGATAAATGATTGATTCAATCGATAAATTTTTTTTTTATAAAAAAATTTTAAATTCAAGTATTGTTGGTAGTCATTTATTGAAGTTATCTTGAATACATGACTTACAATCACTTATCTTAAGTTATTAAGTATAGTACATTTTATCTTGACCTGAAAAATTAAATAATCTATCTACTTTGAATTTTGTTTCTTACCAAAAAAAAAATTCCGCAGAGTTTAAATTTTTTTGTTTTTGAAACATTATATTTGATCATGGAAAATTTTCTTTGTTCTCATTGCATGCCATGTATTTATTCGTTTTAAATTAAAAAAGCGTGCCATGATTAATATGATCTTTCATGAACAGATTTTTTTTTTTTGTTTGCAAAAAAGTTCAAAGCCAACAAAATTAATAATTTTTTTTTAATGTTTATATAATATTGGGTTGGGATCACGTAAGTAATCAGAACATATATATTATACTATATTATTCTGATTTATTTATTTAAATATAAAATTTGACATTCATGAGATGCTACGATCACACCAGCAAGAGGGAAGGGCCTGAGACCTGATAATCATTTGGAGACATGGATTCCAGAGGCGTGCAGGACAACGAACACCCTAACTCCTAAGCCTCTGAATTCCTCGAAACATCTGCATGGCTTTTTTTTCCAACCCTTAATCATGATGCCAAGAATAATAAGTACGTGTGGAAACAAAGATCCCAATGATTTTTTCTTTTTTTTTTGCTTTTTCCACGTGAGAATAGATTTAATAGAAGAACAAATAAATTTTACTTTTAATTTTGAAAAGTTGGTAAACTTTAATAATATCATAGAAAGGTGATCTCAAATTTCATGTTGTGTATGAGCCCCAATAGGCATGGCATGCACAAAAATAATAGTGTAGTATATGGGCAGATCATCAACTTCGTCAAATTAACCAATTTATGAACTGAATTCTAATGATGTGATAATAGACATATAATATATATATATGTATAACATTAGGTACGAACAATAGACAAAAGATTACTCTTAATTTGGCGTATTATAAGCCAAGTCCTGAGCTAGAAATTAAGCTGATGATCACTCACGGGGAACATATTATAAACAAGTCATTGTCCTTGCTTTCACTAATTATTTTCTGTACCTATTTTTAATAGGCTTGTCCACTAGCTTGGCTCGGGTCGGATTATGACCATTTGTTTTAGAATTCAAAATTGGTACAATAAAAAATTTTATTTTATTAATAAAATTTATTTTTATTAATTTTAATCTTAAAAAATATTTTAAAATTTTGCATTTTCAAATTTTTTATATATTTTTTCTAAAAATTAAAACAACTAAACCAAACAAATTAGACTAAACAAACAAGTTTTTTGAAAGATCAATTGACTCAATTTATCTCATGAATAAAGATGTAAATGATATATTAGTATTCATAAGTTATTCGAATTTTATTTGAATAAAACTCAAATTCGACTCAATTATTATCAAGTCTAGTTCGAGTAACTTAAATTATCAATCGAATTGAGTTCGAACATTCTTATACCAAATTCAAATAAATTACGAGCCTAATTGAGCTTTTATATTTTAATATATTTTAATTATTTTAATTAATAAAATATCATAAACTCAAGCTCGAATATAAATAATCAAATTTTTATTAAATATAAAAATCAAACTTATTTTTACATGTTAATTGAGTGAGCTCAAGTAATTCAATTTCTATCTTAAGTCAAGTTTGAATTAAAAAAAAAAATATCAATTGAGTTCGATCCAAGTTTCGAATCTCAATTTTGAGTCGAGCTCGAATTTAAACTTAATACTGTATTGATTTAAACTCGATCGATTATACGTCTATCCATGAACAAGCTTAACTTTGAACTTTTTTTGTCTATAAGACTAATCGTGTGTGTGTGTGTATATATATATATATATATATATATATGTATATATTACAATATATATAGACGGTAAAAGGTTGCCACGTTTATGCGGACAAGTCTAATTTATTCAAATATTAAAATTATTCAATTTATAATTAGAAATCAAATCATAAATATATTTTTTAAAATTAAAAATTTTAAATATGAATTTTATCTTTTTAATAAATAATTTTAGTTATTTACCAAATAATTTTATTTAAATAATTATTTGATTATTAAAATCTTTCAAACATATTTAAAAATTATAAAATTAAGTTTATCTGAATCTTTCAATAATTTTTTTATCTTTATTTGAATCAATAAAAATTCAAATAACTTTATATAAGACATTGAAAATTCAAACAATTATTTATATTAAATCTTTAAATATTAAGATCATCAAAAGAATTATATCTATCTCAACTCTAATTATCAAATTTATATTTCAGATATGTGCAAATTTTTTGATTTCATCTTTATCACTTATTATATTCATTTTAAATTTAAAAAATAAATTGAAAAATATCTACTTAATCTTAATTGTCACTAAATAGTTCTTCTAAATTTTAAGACTACAAATGTAATGTGTTATATCAATTTTTTTTTTTTTTCAATTTGCAACTTTTTTTCAAGGTATATTCTATTATTATTGTAATTTCTTTTTCTCTTTATAATTTTTTTCAAGTTATATTTTATTATTATTGTAATTTCTTTCTTATGAACAATAATATTTTTTATTTATTTTTTTCACATCTCTCCGAATATTTTTCATATTTTGTATAACAATTCAATTAAGATTACAAAAGTGAAAGTATATTAATATTTCTTTTATTATTTAATTCATCATTCAATAATATATGTGATTTTATTTTTTTTAAAAATGCATAATTTATTTTTTAATATAATTTTATTAGTGTATAAATATTACTATAAATAAAAATGATCCAGAAGGAAGACTTGTCATTTTTTTTCTTATTGTTTTTAAAAAGTTTATTTTTTAATTAATTCGTACATATCGTAGTCTAGTTTGTGTATATTGTCTTTACAAAGCAAAATATCATTTTGCCTTTCAAGAAAATTATTTGAACCAGTAAAACCACTTTCCCATGGAATCAAATCAAGAGTTAAGCTATTTTTTTTTTTCATTTTTTCTTTTTTTCCTATGCAAGTTTGGCAGGATGTAACACTTTCAAACAAAGATGGAGAAAAAAGGGACAAGCAGGGGTATCCCAAATTTCTAACTTCCTTTTTCTATAATGATTGGTCTCATTGATTTCTTAGTTTGTTTTTTCTATTTTCTTTTTTTCATTAAAATTACTGTTCTGACCCTTATTGACCTTTCTCCTACTCTCAAACATATTTAACCATATCATTGATAAATTACTTGATATATCGATAATAAAATTTTTTAATTTCATAAATAAGATTCGAATAATAAAATATATATATATTTTAAATATATAAAAAATATATCATTATTTTAATTTCATTTATAAAATTAAAAAATTTTACTGTTAGTATATTAAATAATTTTTTATCATAATTTTTTCGTGTAAACAACTAAAGAGAGAATAATTTTATTTATTTATTTTTTTAATCTACTCTTATATTTACATAACTGAAAAAATATTATGCACATAAGCTTATACATATAAACTCACAATTTTCAAATACTAATGTGAATCGATTTAAAGATAAGTGAGCAAATACTAAGAAGAATTGATTACCCTATGATGAAGAGCCATATAATTGACTAGGATCAATAATTGTGAAAAAAATCAAAGGGTTGCTAGTTTTCTCATTAATACATGAGAAAGGGCAAAGGAGATGAATCCAACTAATTTTCAAGAAAAAAACAGGTTTCAGTGGTACAAATGTTCAATGCCAGCACGTAACATTAATTCATTCAACTTTTAATTGTGTCAATGATATTCCCCCATATTACCATCATTTTTCTTTTCTTGCACCTTTTTCAAGCTTTCTTTTGTTTTTAATTAAAAAACTAAAGCGCGTAGGGAAGAAAAATAGGAAGCTTTGGTTAAAGCAAAATTGTTTCATTTAATGTATTACTGTAGAAACACTAATAAAGTATTCACAAATTCAGTTCATCTCACATTTCCTTTTTTTTACTTATTGTTAAAATTTAAGATAAATAAGTTACTTAATAATCTCGTAGATTATAATAAGATATATCATATCTGATAATCTAAAACAGATGATTGTAGATTATACATTCGAAATAACTTTAACAAATAATCACCGATAAAATTCAAATCCAAAACATCTTCGTCGAAAAAAACGAACATAATCATTTGAATGAACCACTTAGCGATTTAATAGTTTAATGTTGTTAAGGAAGATAAACCAAATTTTGGGTCCACGAAATCACATTAAAAAAATTCATTCGTATATTCTTTTAATATCATTTCATTTCAATCCAAAAGCTTAAATCATTAAGATTTTGGATTTTATAGACATATATATGTCACCTGTACATCTATTTTTTGAATGATATGATATTCCATTCATGTCAAACTCAAAAAAATATTATTCTTAATTAATAATTATGATAGTATTGATTTCACTCTAAAGATTTTACATGATTGGCATTGACATCTTGTCATTGAATAATTAAACAAATAAAATTTTTGATGCCATTGAAAGATATTATATAGGTAAATTAAGTTAATAATATTAAATTTTGGATTACAATGATACATTATTTAAAAATTAAATATGTAAGTTGTAAATTTTATTTTTTTAAATAAAAATTTATGCATTTTCTCAAAATTAAAGTCTCAAAAATTATAATTAAATCTTTATAATACTACAAAGCACTCTTGACAACACTCCATTAACATATATTAATCTAGCAATCATGAAAGATAATTTCCATTATCATTAACCGAACTTTAACATAAACTATTAGTAAAATAATTCCACCAATCAACAGTTAAAATAACAATGAGGAGATTTTGGAATATTGAGATCTCATATTCAAATCCTACATATTTAATTTAATTTGATGTTAGACTCGTTTCAATTATATGCTGATTTGTTGATTGATTTTTTATTTGTTTGATTTAATTCGTCAATTTTTTAGATGGGATATAATATTTTATTATAATTATAATTTTTTTTTGGTTTACTTTATTAAAAAAAAACTTAGCTCTTTTATCACTCATGAATAAAATATGGCCTTCCTAATTTGTGGGCACTGGATGTCCTAATTGTATTTCATGATTGAAAACAAAGGGCAAGAGAAATTAATGAGTAAGTTAAGGAGTAAAAGACTATAAGTTAAGGTGTAAAATTTAAGGAAATGGGAAACCTAATAAATCAAATGAACTTTGAATCTGGACTATCAAACTATATACATGCATACATATATACATATATATATATATATATTCATGTGCCTCTTTTTATTTGTCCGTTGTTTTAGGCAACGTGAAACATGAGCTTGTTAATAATGTTCACTTTGACAATGAAACAAGAGGGTCGTCTTCCTCAAGAAGGAGCACATGTAAATGTCGGAAATAATTTTCAATTGAATCATTGTCCCATCACGGACGCCGTGAGGGTTGTTATTATTATTATTGAATCAAAATTATTCAGTTTCGATGGGTTTAGAAATCAGTATTTACTACCAGGCTACTACTAGTATTCTTATTAAGTAGAAGTAGGGATGTGATTAATTAAGTCGATATAATATTAAATTCAAGCTCAACCTCGAATTTAGCTTTAAATTTGATATTTGAAATTTAACTTGAACTTGATCAAAATTTATTTTTTTAGCTCGAATTCAATTCGAGATAAAAAATAAGTTATTTGAGCTCATTCGATTAGATTCGATTAACATATAAAAATAAGTTTAATTTTTATATTCAACAAAATTTTAATTATTTGTGCTCAAGCTTCAATTTGAGTTTGAGATATTTTATTAATTAAAATATAAAAACTCGATTAGGCTCACGAATAACTCGGGTTGAGTATAAGAATGTTCTAATTCGGTTTGATCAATAAATCAAATTACTTGAGTTTAAACTCGACTCGATAATAATCGAGTCGAATTCGAGTTTTATTTAAATCAAACTTAAATAATTTATGAGTATTAATATATTATTTATATATTTATATAAAAACAGTAAAAATCAACCCGTAAAGTGGGTGACACTTGAGTGTTCAGACCGTATTTCTAAATCATAAGTCCCTTTCTCGGCCCAGCCTAAGAAACAAAATAAACCAGTAACTAGAGGTCCAGACCATGGGCCAGTTTGCCAAAAACATGATAGTACATCGATGATTTGATATACTCACTATTTTTTTTATACACCCCAGTAAAGTTTTTAAATTTACAACTGACGTTAAAATATTTTCATGTGTTTTATTTATTATATTAAGTTATTAATTATTTTAAATATATTTTACCAAGATATGTGTCAATTTTCTCATCTTATAGGTGAAAATTTCGTTAATGGTGTATAAGAAAGTTATCTCTTTTTATATATCCACATCCTTTTTCTTTTTTAGAACAATGCCTGTTATGTATCTCTTATTTCTTGAAGAAATGTTAGGACTTAAAAAGGGAAGAATGTGAAAGTTTATCAAATTTTCCTTTTAAGCTTGTTTGTGACAAAAATAAATAGCGGCAATCGACACCAGCAGCCCAACACGTGAAAGTCATGGCTGCACTGTCTCTGGCTATAAAGATCCGGAAACTCCAACACACATAATAATAATAATAAAAAAAAAAAAACTATAAACACAAAAAGGGCACGTTAGCACATATTTTAGAGCTCACAGCCCCTGACACAAATCAAAGAATCAGTATATAAATTGACATCCAAATGGTGTGATCCAACGACAAAATTAAACTCCAGCCACTTGTTGGGACCTGACTGGATTTCAACCAAATTAATAAACCATCGCCGATTGACATGAAATGATAGGACTGTAACACACTTCAAAATTTATGATGGGTCCCGACCCACATGCGGGGAGGACCACATGAACCTCAGCTTGCTGCAAGTAAGCAACCATGAGGATAGCCGTCTTTGAGGTGCTCAACAGCCACAGGAAAAGCCGTGTGTAAGTTTGCTGAATCTTTGGGGAATTCTTATAATCGAATAGGTAACCCATAATTGAGGTAGGTTCGAATGCGTCCATCCCAGCTTGCAGTAACAATCACAAGACCCCACTTGTGAGAACTTAACATGCTTTGATAAGCACTCTTCAAAACCTTCAACTCGAATTTGCACATGTCGGATGCAATCGTCGCTGAACTTGCATTGGGAAGTGTCTCTTCCGGCCAAGTTGGAGACCCCCCTTTCAAAGACTCCAACAGAACACGTGTCAGAGAGAAACAATCGGGTGAAGAATGGGGCATCAATTGTTCCAGATCCAACTTAGGATTTTGATGTTTCTGCCCATTTGTGAGGCCATTTCTCCTCACATCACCCCTCAATTCCGGGGATGCAAGTGTTTCAGGAATGGTTTCAATGCCACACCAAGGTATAGCAACTGATGCATTGTAGGAGAGGAAACTCTCGCAAGACGAAATGTTCTTCACTTTGGAACAGTTCTTTTCGTGATTAATGTAATTCCAGATGTAGACATTAGAATCCTCGCTAGCTGAGATGATCTGTTTCCCATCTTGGCTAAAAGTAGCAGAAATCTGACTTGCTGCAATTCGATAGCCTGATGCTGGAAGATGAAAGAAGCTAAATCATGAAAATGCCCTATTTCTAAAGATTTAAAATCATCAACTACCACCTTGAGTCCTCACATAGGGAGAAATAATGTTTAATCCCCTTCCAATATCATCAGGATCGTCATTCGTGATAATGGAACAACAATTATAGGAACATAAGAGTGAAATACTCACCCTTTAGTTTGCAGACGACTTCTCTTTCAGACAAGACGCGGACAAGTGAATCAGCTGAAGTAATGATCACTTTGCTTGGGTCATTAGGAGAGAACTAGAAAGTGAAACAACAAAATGTAAGTCTTCACCCGGCAAAAAAATGTGATGAATAAGAAACATACATATGACCAAAACAAGGATAACAATTTAACCACCTCAAAGCCAGTTATTCTTTTTCCAGGTAACTTCTTTTTTCCTTGTAAGCATATTGGTGCATCGAGTTGAAGTCGATTACCTGACAGACAGTACTCATGAGCCAGAAAATACTGGCAACAAAAGGGTTATTGGTGCAGAACTGTATGTATGTTTCTTGCAAAACTCTACTGATTCAAATCTTTTGAGAAAGAAAACAGTCCACCTTAGCAAGTTGGAAGAACTTTTGGTGCATGACGTTTGCTTAGAGCAAATCCACAGTTTTAATGACCTTATATACCATGAGTGATGAAAATTCAAGAATAATCTACAGCATCCTGCCACAACATATTAAGAGCATCACACATATCAACATACTCTCTTCTTGACCAGAATAGATTGGCAACAAGACTATCTCAAGTGTAATCAAGATTCAGTCTTGGACTATTTGTCACTAGTAAAGTTATAATGCTGTCAAACTCAAAAACCAATATATTATAAATACTTCTATAAACCAAAAAAAGAAAAAAATTAAAGGTCATATACTCATGTTGTCAGCATATTCAAGGTTCAATAACACCATTAACGTGCAATGTAACTATGCAAAAAACTGAAAGAAAAATTTTGGCTTTTATAAGTGAACATACCAATGATATAATAAAAGTGGCAGTTGCCTGTCATGGAGCCAACTATTCCTCCCTACAACAATCAAACAAAGAGTTTTTTAACAAAATCTATTAAAGTTCAGGAGACAATCTAAATCCAAAAAATTAGACAAACCTTTCCATCAGGGCGATAACACACAGCTGTTACTATATCCCTTATATCAGTATAATCAATAACTTGACAATGAAGCACTTCCCAAATGCGAACTTTTCCATCAATTGAACCGCTGATGAAATAATTATCATCCATAGGGTTGAAGGCAACAGAAGTAACTACATTGACAATAAGAGAAACACACGTATTAATGTCATATAACTACATAATGAACTATAATTTTGTATGGGTTGGATGAGGGTGGAGGCTTAAGAGAGGCCAACCATAACTGTTATGAGAAAAAACCCTCAAGCATCTATCATATCCCACTTGCCATAGACGAACAGTCTTGTCAACAGAGGATGACAGTAGAAACTACAATAAAGAATATATGATAACCTTATTAGTAAATCAAGATAAAATATAAAAATGTTAAGTAGCATCCTTCAATTTCTTAAAGAAATAAGATAAATCTAGGCAAATTACCCCTTTCTTAGACCATGAAAGAGCCAAAATTTCCCCAATGTGCCCCTGAAATTCATGCACAGGCTTCTCCAAAATTTCGAAGACCTTGGGTGGGAGAATGACACAAGTTGAATCTGATGATTTCCTTAACCTCTTAATTTTATCTGTACTTTCTTTATCCACATTGAGAGGAGTAAGATGAGAAAGATGATTCATTCTGAAGTAGAGACATGAAGAATCAAGGTCTTGGATGTCAAATTTGCCAAAACTCTCATTCTCGATAATCTTCCATACACGCACAATACAATCTTCACCTGCAGTTGCCAGGAATTGCCCGTCCAGACTGAACTTCATCGTCAAGATGGACCCTTCGTGTGCGACAAATTCTTGCCCACAATAAAGGGAAGACAACTCCTTGGAACTCTTGCTACGTGGATGAACCCTGACTCTTTTCATACTTTCCCCTGATGACGAGTCAAGATTACTGTGCTTCGATGCAACTTCAACATGTCTATCAACAATATGAGCCATGGCGCCTAGTTTACTTAACCAACTCTTTTTCACTTTCCTTTTCACATCTATTGCAGGCCTAGGAGATGGCGTAGGGGTCCTCTCAAACTCGTCAGAACTAACAGAATTACTTGAACCCTTCCCTTGTAAGCAGCTGTTCATTCCATTCTGACGAACATTCTCACCCAGTTCAACTGCAACCGATTCCATTTGACTATCCAAATTCTTGGCTTCATGTGCAAAACGACCTTCCGTTGAATAATTTTCAGCTAGTTCTTGAGCATCATTGGACCGTAAAGATACAAAAGACTGGCTGGATGAAACCCCGTCTTCAAGACCTGAAGTCCTCAAAACTGCCCCACTATCTTGTGGGATTCTATAATTGCCCAATTCGATTTCCTCCCTACAGGAACCACAGGAATCCTCTCCAGAAACTGAAATCCGATCTAAACTATTATCCATCCATTTTCGGAATCTATATCGACGCTTATCAGCACTTTCTGGGAACATAGACCAGAACTTGTACCGATCAAAACTATCCAAAAAACAGTTGACTGGGCCAAAACCAGGACTAGAATCACATCCCTCAGAACAAACAAAACTGCGATCAGATATCGAAGAATTCTCCTCACAGGTATCAAAGAATTGATCCTCTTCTTCTTCTTCTGCTTCAAAATAACTCCCCATTATTTGTTTTTATCTCAATCCGTGAAATCCTGAAACATTAAGCCACTACTAAATTTTCCAGGCTCTCAATCTAACAAGAGAAAGTTGGTTTTTTTTTTCTCATATTTTCCCTTTTTATTATATAATGAAAAAACCAATTAAGAACATAAACCACCAACAAACTTCTAAGAAGAAACGTAAATGACAGATCTTTGCAGCAAATTTTCTAACACCAAAAATACAAAGATGGAAGCTTTAAAACCATTGAAAGAACCACGACGATAAAAAAAAAAAAAAAAAAGAGATCAGAAACCACAAAAGAAGAAGATTTACTGACCTGGGTCACCACGAAATGTTGGTCAAAACCCAGAATTCGACGGATTTCCCTACCTCTTTCCCTTCCTTCTTTTTCTTACAAAAAAAAAATGGTTCTCACTCAAGGAGATAAGAAAATTTTAAAGTATATATTTATCAGGAAGGTGATTATGAAGGCAAAACATGCCACTTAGCGTTAACGCGAAGGAGAGAAGATTCTGATTCCGAAACGTTGATAGGTGGTGATTTCTTTGTTGCTGTGTCTGCTTTCTTCTCTCTTTCCTTTGAGTCAATTACCGCAAAGGTAAATCACTAAATTGTTTTGTTCGTCCGTTGGTACTTTGTTGCTTTATCCCTGTTCTCTGACACTCTCGTCTCGGCTTCCAACCAGTATAACTAACGGCTTTAGTTTAACGGTTGTTCTTCTTTCAACTTTTATAGGGATAGCGTATCAGCCCCCTTGCCCCCCCCCCACCCTTCCTTTTTTTTTTTTTATAAGACTTTAAAGTTGGTGAAATTTTCTTTGTCCTTACACATATTAACTCTCCTATCTTTCTCCTAATCCCGTAATAATAATTAAAAAAATTTGGACTTTTCTTTTTTTTAATAATCTTATATAATATAAATAATAAATAAATTTAATTATTCAAATAATCATATTAGACAAAGTAATTATTAATATATTTTTTTATAAAAAAATAAATAATATAAGAATATGGGAACCCAACCTTTACCTGCTTTGATTTTTGTTTTATAAAAATTGCACTCCAAACTCCATATTTCGATCCTCATTTTCTCGAATATAGACATTAAATCAAGTTATCCATATGTAATTTTGTTCGCATATTCGGTGAAACTTAAGTAAAAAAATTTTTATATAAAGAGAATAAATAAAATAATTTTTTATATAAAAAGAATAAATGAAAATAATTTTTGAACTTCAATATTGGAAAAATAACAAGCCAAAGTTGTTAGACCAATTAAATTGATTAACATTATTTCATAGTATACGATTGATTAATTTAATTTTTTATATTTAAAGTTATTAAAAAACGATAAAATATTAAAAAAAAATTGAATCTCTAGCAAACTCTTCCACCACTCAATGGATAATGCTTATCCTCTTTGAATGAATTTCTAATGTGTAATTTTCTCTAAAAAATGAAAAAAAAAATAGTAACCAAGGTAAAATGAATTTAAGGGGATTTATTTTTGTATTTAATGAAGAAATGGTCAAGTCAAGCCAAAGCGTACATGCAAAAAAGAACAAATTAAAAAAAAAAAAAAGGTAAGATTTGTGTTGTGAAGTGTCAACCAAGTCATGTCCGATGCCCACCAGTCAGCCAAGGATTAGAACGCCAGGTCGCCAAGAAAATGCTATTGGATGTGTCTATCTTAAAGTTGACTGGCAAATTGCCTTCTAGCAAAGTTGGTGGATTGTATGCTCTACCGTGTCTTCGATTAATATGATATTGACTTTCAACTTTCTCCATCGCCCCTGCTCATTTCTCCGCTCTTTCCTTTCGTAATGATCATGGTCCCTATATCACGTCATGAGCTCTAAGGAGAACAATTAGAGTATTCTGATCTCATATTAAATATGAAAAAAAAAAGTAATTGAGATATATAAGAGTTTATACTATTTTTTTATGAAATATTTTTTATAAAATAAAATCATAAAATTAAAAAAATTAAAATGAATAATACATCATAAAAGTGTAAACTATTATTATTAGATTAATCTAAAATATCAGATGAATGCATGTTCAAATTTTGAAATCGCATAAACCTGAAGTTTGAATCTCAATTCGTGACACCTGCAGCTTCCAATTGCTAAAATTTTTAAACAAACAAAAAACTAAATATACAATTCTTTGAAAAATTAGCTTAGTTGATTAATAACTTCATTATTGCTATGCGTTCGTTTGTTTATACATGATAGTAAAATTTTTTAATTTAACAAACGAGATTAAAATGTTAGTATATTTTTTATTTTTTAAAATTATTTTTATTATATCTTAAAGAATATGTATTTTTTTAATAATTTTACTCGTAAAATCTAAAAACTTTATTATAAATGAATGTGATCGTTTTTCTTAACAATACTAACATATTTCTTGTCTGACTTGTGTGTATCAAAAGTTTAGACTTATAAGACAATTACTTTTTTTCAAAGTTAAAAGAATATCAATAACTATCGATTCAAAATTTCAAGAATTTCCCTTTTAAGGGTTATACATCTAGAGGTAAGTGAACAATATAATCTTGCTTAACTATTAAAATTGCCCAACTTAATTTCTAGTAATAAAAATAAAGAAAATTAACTAGCTAGCTAGTTCCTTAACACATGCTATAGAAATGCCTATCGATCAGCTTAAATGGTTTACTGGTTCTAATTCTGCCATTTCCTGATGAAGTTCGATTGCAGCTTTTTGAAGACAAAAACTCGTCAGTGTTACTACTAACAACCACACTTTCCCTTGTCTCCCGCCAAGGAAAAATACAAAGACAAAAAAATCTCCCCCCAACCCCTAAGTATTTCCATCCACTTCGATCATTATGGACAACAGATAAGGAGGCTGGTCTATATATGATAATTTATGTATTTTTATTATATAAAATATTAATAATTCGTATATTTATATAATATTTTATATAAATATTATATTTTTTATTAATATAAAATATATTTTTTATTTTATTAAATTTATTTATAATTTTAAATAAAGTTGACTGCTACAGTGTTTTCTGTCTGTTAGTCGTTGGTGTCGAATAGAGTTTATTTTTTTATGTCGGTTGTTTGTTTTGACTTATCCTGAATTAGAATATGCATATTTTTATCCTTCCATAATATTGTTTAAGTTATGAAATTTTTCATCCAGTGCATTGAGTGATTGAAGAGATGAGGAAGATTCTGAATGTGATTTGTTTCACATCTGTCATCTTTCTTAATATTAATATAGTAGATCAATTGGATGATTCAAATCTTTCATTTTAGATAATTTATCCAAAAGTTCAATTGAGAGATTATGATAGGTTTTAGGGTTCGTTAGATAGACTAATAGACTTTCTTTTTTTTTTTTGGTTTTATTTGGGTTGCATCATCTACGTCATCATCATCAAGCATTACATTCCTTTAAATCTTGGTACCATATTAATGTTGGCAACCGACCAGCTTTATTTTTTATGGACATGGCAGGACTACGAACTGTATAAACATTAAAATATGCTAATTTTCAGGACAAACTAGGTCAAGCTTGGATTTTTTTACTCGAACAAGTAGCTTAGAGCTGTTGGACCGGCTGTTTATTAATATTCAAATGGGACTATTGTCATTTTATCATCAGTTTATTTATATTCTTTAAGGGATCTTCATTAAAATTTTTGGACCGTTCTCACATTAGTTTGATCCACATATAAAGAACAAAAGGCGAAAATAAAAAATTTGAAAGGGATTTTTTTTTCATTCTTGGATCGACAAGCCAAGATTCTTATTTACATTACCATAAAAGGCTTATCTGGGATCTTGATTCTTGAACATAGTAATGTCCTAATATCTTAGGAATCTTCTACTGCTCTACATGCATTAATTTCATGATCTAAAATAGAAATTTGAATCCCACACATAATTATGTACTAGAATTTAATTATATTTTTAACTGTTTAAATAATCATTTATATAGGATAAACCGTAACATTTAATGGATTTAAGCTATTATTATATTATAAATAGGTGAAAATTGACGTCCACATTGACAAGATAGGGGCTGAATTGGTGGCCCATATGGGATTTAAAGTTGAAATGTAGTCCATAACTTTATGCATGGTGGCTCTGCCTCTTAAGACCCAAAAAAATCAGTATTAATTTCAATCTAAATCTTTGCTTCAAAAGGAAGAAATTAAATTGAAACTAGGATTTATACGATCATACTACAAGTTCATCTTCTTTTCTCTTTTCCCCCCTTTTCGCTTTGCAGTCCCCTTACAAAGGAGGAGGAGAGAAGGCTGATTAAAAAAGCCTGGTGGTCCAAAAAGGGGTCAACTCCATCCCTTGTTTGGGACAATTGCTGGCTTCCTGCTCCCTGAATTTACAAGCTATTGTGGAAAGGAGGCCCGCCCATGGCAACTAACCATGTGGGTTAACTTTTTTGAGCGAATTGTGCCCTAGATTTGGTCTTTAATAGAAATGTTTGAAGAGAAAAATATAGGAATAGCTACTACTTATTTTTTTATATGTCACTAATAATTAGTAAGTTTGTAATTTAAATTTTAGTACATATAATTTTTTTATTATCAGATATTTAAACCTTGTGACATTATACATATAACTACAAGTTTCAATGAATTTATCCATGTCAAATAAATTAAGCATCCATTCCCCCTTTTTTTTTTGAATAATTTAAAAGTCTGTGTTTGAAATTCTCCTGTGCATAAAAAATTGTTCTCAGACTTTCAAACTTGTATCCTCTTAATAACTTTCAAAATTTTTGTTTATATCCTAAAAAGCTGACTTCCTATATAGGATTTGTGTGACTTTCTATTTGAGTCCATTTGAATGGTTACAGTCTAATTTTGGTGAAATTGAAAAAAAAAATAAAAAATTAATTATTATAAAGATAATATTAAAATTTATAAAAAAATATGTGTTTGAATACAAATATAACGATGGTAATGAGATGAATTGTAATTAGAAAAAATAATCATTAAAAGTATTATATTAAAATTTATCTATAATAAAAATTTTAAATTATTTGATATTTATGAAGTTAGTAAATGATTAAAAATTATTTTTATGTCAAATAATATAGTTTTTTAAAATTTTGATAATAATATATTTACATAAATTAAAACTTAATAAAATAATGTAAACAAGTAAAATATAAAATTTAAACTAATGTAAATATAAATAGTAAATACAAATAACATAATAATATATAATATTACAATAAATAATCCAATTCAGTGGTTCGCTGAACTATTTTTTATCAGTTGAAAATTATTACTTCGGTGCAATTGAGAAGTTCAATCACACTGAACTGTCGGATATCCAAACACAATAATATAATGCAATTGCATAAAAAGATAAAATTTCTCATTACATTGCCCCAAGTAAATCCAAATGGAATCTTAGAAACATTCCCTTGTTGAGGGAAAAAAGTTTGTAACTAGTTGAAGTGGTCCCTTGGCTTAGACTAAGGAAAGGGGGGTGGCGCCGGCCACTGCGAATGGCAATTGCAAATCATAGTACCTTACGGCTTCCCAGTCTCCCTGTGTCCGCCATGGCCCATAGTGCTTTGCCAAAGCCGCGTTTGGCTCCCCACTCCACAATTATTGAGGTTTGTCAACAATGTGCACCCCAAGCCCACCCTTCCCCATGCTCGCCCGCAGTTGAAATTCCTTTGATAAATTGGGTCAACTATCAACATCTCTCTTTGGCCCACAAATGACAAAACTCACTCTCTCCCTACTGAAAAATTCAACACATATGCCACTGAGAAGAACGTTGGGTGGAGATCAAACTCACCAGACATTTCTTGGCCAAAATAAAAACTATCACTGATATAGTGGGTCCTCTAGCCAACCACTGTTTCAAAAGAACACATTCCCATAATAAAAATAATATGTAATAATTTATATATTTATATTATATAAATATTGATAATTTATATATATATTATTTTATCTAAAAATAATATATCATAATTTTTTTAACATAAAAAATAAAAATATAATTTTTTTTATTTTTTTTTCTAAATTTATATTTAATTTTGTTAAAATTTCAACTTAGGTTATTTTTGTATCTTTAATTATATTATTTTTCTATCATATTTTAAATTATCAAAATTAACCAAACTACCCAAATAATGTAATCAGCTTCACATTTGATTTTAAACTTTGCTTTGAGCCTTTTGACTAGACAAATATGTACATGGGGCATATAATAGTGCCATGGTATGATAATAAAAGTCATCAAGTTCAATATCGTATTAGTATTAAAATTTGTGTAGTAATTATTCAGAATGGTTAACCCTAGTTAGTAAGGGTAGGAGCTCCTTTTTTTTTCTAATTAAAGTTTTATTTTTAGAGAAATATTTCGAAAATAAAAATTTGAACATGATTGCACATCTTTATAATTGTTAAAAATTAAGTTGAAACAAAACTTACAAATATTTCAATCGTATTATAAAAAATTTATAGAATTTATATAAAATGTTTTATGGGTGACGTGGAATGCACTAGCTAGTTCACATGCTGTCGACGTCAAAGATGGGGTCAGTCACGTGATATCATGAAGGGGAATTTCTTTTTGGGGGTTTTAATCAGACGGCTGTGGCCTGTGGGTGGATTCCTTGCTTGGTTGGGTAGGAATGGTGTGGAGCATGCGCAAAGAAATGGGGTCCACTGGAAAAACAGCACAACCGCCCACTTGTTCCCATCGCAAACGCAGCCCCTGGCAACTGCCCCAACGGCCCCACCCCACCCCCATTGTTTTTTACTCCATTCTAACTTTTTTTTTTTTTGAGGGAAGACTTTCAAGTTTCAAATTAATGGGAGGCGTCGCGTCGGTGAATAGATTTTCGGTTGGGTGCGGTGCTATTTTCGGTGGGCCCATTACAATGGAGATGATGTCCCACATCGGACGGCTTCAATTCGCAGCCATTCACCACTACTCTGGTGTGGAGTACACAGCACAACGAAATAGTTGCTGGTCTACTAGAGTAACATTGTTTTTGTACAGGGGAACAAAATAAGTTTACTATAATTTAGGCATGCAAACATAAGTTACCGTGGATGTTAACCACGTGGGCGTGTAAAAATTAACTGATGTATGTAGTATTAAATGGACCCCATCAGGGGGTATTATTAGGTACGGTAATGATATAATAATATCGGAGGAGTTTTCGTCAAAGAGATAACAACGTGGCGTTGATGGATGGAGGTCCCCATTTAATCAATCAAAATCATCATGACCAAAAGGAATCGACCCAACCATGACCGTTCAGTCATGTAGCTTAAAGTCTAAAGACGTGACACTTCTTTTTTTAGGTGGTGACTTGAGCTTTAAGTCACAAGTGAAATAAACTGATCTGCATGTGAACGGTTAAGGGGACGTTTGGAATATATCTACATATATATATATATATATATATACATACTTGGAACAGTATATTTATGCTTGATTTTTTTTTTTTTTTTGCTAATTATTTTGGCGCCTTCTGCGGTTTAAGATCAGACAGTTTGATAAGGTCAAACAAACTTGGGAAGCAAGGTGTTGCCGTACGAGAAAGCAGAAACAAAAAAGTGATGCTGTATGATCAAATATCATCTTCTTTTTCACTTTTCACCAAAGCTTGGACAAACACAGCAACAACCTTCGTCTTTAACGTAACCAAACGTGGGTGAGGGAACAATTTCAAAGTAATGGATTTGAAGTTAAATAATTATTAAGTTGGTGAAAAGATAAGAAAAAGCTTATTAGAAATAATTAAAAGTATATATATATATATATGCAAAAAAACCACAAAGCTGCTGCTCATGTTAAAATGCCATCAAATTATTATTATTATATATATAGCAAACTATAATCAATTTGCTGCATTGTCACACGCCATTTTCTTTTGTCCCTTTTCAACACCCCTGTTCTCATCAGCTTATGAGGATCTAGGTAACTTAATCAGCAACATTACGTGGTTTTGTTTTGATGAAAGGCCTGTTCTTGGTGGAATATGTGCAGTGTCAGATGCAGCGAATTGGTGACCCAAGTTGAGAGCAAATGGCTGATTATTTCTACAAGTCATTGCCTTACATTAATATTTACCGAGATTGGCACAAAATTAATGAATGTGGATCCTGAGCCACTTTACGTGCATGCTATCTAGATAGCTAGCTAGTTCCATAGCCTGAAAAAGGGCCCGTGCTGATAAAATAGAATTATTAGCGTTTGGTACTCTCTCCCTCTCTCAACCTTAAGTGCTGTCATTCCATTACAACAGATTCACGAGTCATGTTCCATGGACCAATTCACCATATGCATTGATTTAAAAGAATTGGGACCCAAAATTGTTTTGATGATTTTTGCCTCTTTCTTCACTCAAAATATTTATTCATTAAATATGTGAAAGAGAGAGAAAGGATCAGTGGGTTTTCGACAGATTTTTTTTTTTTTTAGAAAAATTAGATGATTTTAGTCAGAAAGGGAAAGCCATCTGTCATACCAATTAGAGAAATAACTAGAATGCTTCAATTTCATATTAAATAAAAATATTTGAGATATATAAATGTTAGCATAATTTAATAAATTAATTTTGGGAGCAGAGAATAATGGCAATTCAACACACGTGCCAACAAGGGTATGTAAATATACACACAAAAACCACTCATTTTTTATTCAAAAACTATAGAATTATTATATTTGTAGAAGCAAATATTCCCACCTAGGAATTATTTATAGAATAAAAATAAACATGTAATATATATTTCGTATATCGTTAGACAAAACATTCCAGTCTCTTTCTCTCTCTCTCAAACATACCACACAACCGATAAAGCAAGGTGATACATACATAGAACGCTCACAAAACCAGCAAACATTTCATTGATTTTCCTCTGCTTTTGAAACCAGTTTCAAGAGAAAAAAAAACTATTTACTTTTTTTTTCATATATATATTGAAGATATATTGTTTTTTTTTTCCTTTTCTCTTCAGTTTCATCCATGGATACTGCTCAATGGCCAAAGGTAGAGAGATCCATCACCTGAGTAGCTCTTGCTCTCTCTATGAAACCTTGGCTTTTCAAAAGAATAATTTAGAGTCAATTGTATGTTTATTGGGTACTTTTCTTTGAAAAAGATGATGGTGTTCATATTGCACAAAAGCTAAAAAAAGGGGAAGATGGTGTTCATGGCTATAGTTGAAGTCCCCACCCAATTGGATTTAGTTTTTATCAGTTCTTCAACATTTTGCACTTTATCCTTCTCTTTTGCTTATGAGATAAAGGAAAGGAACTCCTTTTTTGTTCACCTTTCTTTTTTATTTTTCTCTTTTATATTCGGCCTGGTATAATCTTGGAAAGTGTAAAGCAATGAACTCGATCGTTTGGTGTCTTCGTTTGTCTGCTATCTTCTTTTTAATCTTCAGTTTTTTTTTTTTTCAGTGCTGATCATCTTTGTTTAATCTTGAAGTTATTGTTGCTTTCGCTTTTTATGTGTGTTTTCATTTATCTTCATTTGCCTTTTTTTTTTAAATCTTTCTAGGAGATTGTGGTGAAACCGATAGAAGAGATAGTCACAAATTCATGTTCAAAGCCTGCGGCTTTGCAGAGGAAAGTAAGGCCTCAAAAGGAACAAGCTTTGAACTGTCCCAGGTGCAATTCAATAAACACCAAGTTCTGCTACTACAACAACTACAGTCTCACACAGCCCAGGTACTTTTGCAAGACTTGTAGAAGGTACTGGACTGAAGGCGGTTCCCTCAGAAATATTCCTGTTGGAGGTGGTTCAAGAAAGAACAAGAGATCAGCTTCTTCTTCTTCTTCATCATCATCATCCAAAAGGCTTCCTGATCTGGTTACACCACCAAGCTTGTTACAGTCTTCTACTCAAAACCCTAAGATCCATGATGGGCAAGATCTCAAACTAGCTTTCCCAGCTACTCAAGGTTACAGAAGTATTTCTGAATTGGTTCAAGTTCCCAATATCGTAGAAAACAATAAGAACCAAATCCCTTCTTCTTCATCCCCTACATCGCAACTTTCAGCTTTGGAGTTGATTACTGGAATCTCTTCTAGGGGGTTGAGTTCTTTCATTCCCATGCCAGTTCCTGATCCAAATACTGTTTATACGTCTGGGTTTCCTATGCAGGAGTTTAAACCAACACTAAATTTCTCTCTGGATGGGCTTGGGAGTGGTTATAGGAGTCTCCAGGGGGTTCAAGAGTCAACTGGGAGGCTTTTGTTTCCATTTGAAGATCTGAAGCACGTCTCAAGCACAACTGATATTGAGCAAAATAAAGAAAAAGGAGATTCAGCTGGATATTGGACTGGAATGTTAGGTGGAGGATCATGGTAAAGAAGATGAAGAGTAATATGGGTCTTTTTTCTTTTTTTTTGTCCTGGATTTTCTTTTTAACTTTTTATTAATTTGTTAAGGTGGGTGACTTGTATGGATTTCTTCATCACTAACAGATAGGAATACATGGGCTTCTTTTCTCTATACATGAGCCTTCTTTTTTTTTTCTCCTTAATTATCTTCTTTACTATTCAATTATGGTGGGAATTTGAAGCTATTTTTTAGGTTGGCTTCACTAAGGGTGACGTGGGATATGTGTTATGGTAGAAGAAGAGATCAAGCTAAGCCTAGATACTTATTAGGGTAAAAATGTAGCGACGAGAGGCATGCCCCTACGGCCTTTATTACAGGTTGATATCTCCTTTCATGAGAGCAGAAGGACAACCCTATGCATTATTGGTTGGCTTGGCACAAGTACAAAAAATAATTTATAATGTTCAACTTTGTTAAGGAATTCCTGGTTGGAAAAAGACTTTGTTCATAAAGTTTCTAATTTCGATTTAGCAAACAAATTGTTGTTAATAATCTTGAATCTCTACTTGGTTGCTGCATTGGGAGTTTTAAATTCTCTTTCTCCATCTCTTCTTTTAGATTGTAGACAGGCTTTCAGATTATATATGTACTAAAAAAAAAAAAAAAAAAAACAGGATTTCAGATTTTGGCACCTTCACCAAAGATCAGACACATTCCAGAAAATAAACCTATTGCGGCAGCTTTGTCCAAGAAAGCAAGTAGATGGCCGAGGGAGCTTAGATGTGATGAACTCTGCTAGGTACGAAATCTGATCCTTCCCACGTATGCCATAAAAATTAGTAACAAAGAAATCCTGAATGAAAAAGTAAGTACTGGAACTGAAGCCTGCCTCAATACAAAATCTCACCTACTGATTTTCTATATCCAAACAGTTTTGAAGACTCCCTCACATTAGCCCCATTTCCCTGAGAGTGATCATTGCCTTCCATGGACACCCTCTCTACCCTTTTCTAATTGAAAGATTGAGAAAAGATCTGACAAAGCTTCCTTTCGTTTGGTCTTGAAGGGACCCCACAAACATTCCCCTCGACAAGTGTGCCGAAGAATAATACACCCCACTATGGTTGATCAATCCAGATCTACAAAACCAAACCCCATTTTATTATATTTTCAATTTTGTTCTTCGCTGTAAGCCACTTAAGTGAACATAATATCCGGCAAATGTGTTGAAGGTGTATCGCCCCTCGTATCTATCATGGAAGTCTCTTTCCACTGCCAACATTAAACCAGCCCTGTTTATTTTTAAGTTAATGACCTGTTGATCCTACTTTAATTTTTCCATAGACTGCTATGGAAAAACCAGAATATCCAGCCAATCCCATATGGTACATTTTAGCCTAAGCAACAAGAATGCCTGACAAAAACATTTTTCCTTAAACAAGAAGAATGGGAGCTCAGATTCAAATGTTTTAATTACCCAAGGAACCTATTTTTTGGAAACATCATAGGGAAAAAGGAAAAGTTTAATTATGGAAGGGGCTCTTGTACTTTCGCTGTCGGATTGGTGATCCGATTTAAGATTTGGAGAAGGTTTTGCAATTAACACCAAACGATCATTTTTCATGCATTAAATATAGTATAAGTAAGTGCTTGAAATATTCAAATGTTGCGTGAATATTCTAATCTTCTTCTAGGCTCCCATAACAAAATAATAATAATAATAATAATAAAAAAGAGAACTAGTATAATCTTATTCCATTCATGTGTCGTGTGGAAATTAATTATCAGATGCAACTTAACTTCATTTATCCATGATGTCTGAACTAAAATATTTAATTTTTTTTTTTATAAAAAGAGTAGCTTTATTCATCTTGTCTGAGCTATTAACTTGACACTTCTTAGGAAGGAAGCCAAAATTGGGAGAAATATTAGAAGAACATTGCCCGATGCTCAACATGGAAAAGTGTCGTCGATAACTACGTACAGCGTTCGTTTTGACAAATGATTCACGAGCAGGAGTTGCGTGTACTGATTTAGCTTACGATTCAAGTCACTGTATTTCACTCAAGGCTTCATTAGCAAGTGTGACCCACTGCCGACATTTGCATGATGTCCTTCAAGTGTAAGGTTGGATGCCCTATTCATGAAGACCTTGCCGATTTTTTTTTTAATATTAAAAAAATCGAATCTTAAATTTCCTTTCCATTGAAAAAAAGTAATAAATGTCAAAACTTATATGGTTTTAAAACAGTGAGTAAAGACTACAATTTAATTTGAGAACTTTAAGTCAGAAATCATGTTGGAAGAGCAGATTATCACCTTGTCATCTTTGATAATAGTAGCAGCACTTGGGTTTATTTGAGGCTGGGAAAATTAGAAAGAGAGAGAGAGAGTTGAACACTAACGAACAATAATGCCCATTACTTCTCAGCTTCTTAATTTAAATGACAGGTTTCCGCAACCATGGACTGGCAAACCAGTACGAAGAATACCAAAAGATGATATATGACAACACTAGGAAAAAAAAGAGGGTAAAAAAGGCAGGGCAATTTCAATCTAGAAATCGGGTCCGGTAAGTTGCTCAATCCTTAGGGAACAGAATCTGCACTAGAACTGGACTAAGAGACTGGCTTCCACTGGTCTCTAGATTTTAGGGAGAACAAGGTCAAGGGAACTAGAAGAGATTTCTGGCTTTAAGCTGACAACAATAAGACAAGATCAATCACTTGCAAAGAGAGAAAGCCCCATATATGAATATATTTTTCCCTGGCATAAAGGAAGGTATATGTATTCACTTCATTAAAGAGAAGTAAGAATGCCCTTTTCAGTTTCATTATCTGTACAGGGATATTACAAAATTATACTGGAATAACAAAATAATGAAACCTAGTACTAGAGATCAGACAAGGATCCCTTCGCGGTTCAATGATCAGCATTGATTCCAAATATTCGGACTTTGTGCATGTTAGGGAACTTTGCAACAACCAGCACAAAAACGGCCAGTGTATTGAAGAAAAGCATCGGGTGTTGATAACCTGTTGTGTGTGAGGCGATAAGATACCTGGCAAATAAAATTTAGGGTAAGAAAAGGGTGGCATTAAACATGATAAAAGACAATATCAAAGTTCTTGTATTATGTCTTGCATCACATCATACATGGTACTCTTATCTAAGGTAACAAAGTCCTATAAAATTTCCATTTAAGAGCCATAAAACAAATATGGCAGCAGTAAACAGCTTGTTCAATATGCAGAAACGTGATGAACTCATCATGAAAGAGCAAAGTTAGTGTCTAGTGAGTGATGTATGAGAATTTTCAATCAACTGTTAAATGTCATCCTTCAAAAGTTTCAAATTCAACTCACCTAAGCCAAGTTTCATACTGTTTGAAACTTTTCAGTGAAATGTTATATAACAAATACAAAATAGTAACTGCTTTTCTTCCATATAAACCAGTGCAGGCTGCAATCAACTTGATGCAACTTGGTAGAAATTTAATATCCCTGGAGATTCATCTTCCCAAAGGGTTGTCATTGATCTTGAGGATGTGGATGACCAAGGTATCCACAATCACACTAGTGGATGGCTAGAGAGGAGGTCTAAATCCATTGCATGTCCCTTAGACTGATTTTTGTCAACTAATCTTTTGAACAATTGTACATCGATTATATATGTAAACTAGGCCATATATATATATATAACACTAGACATTCATGGGTGAGGTGATGGTTGACCATAAATCAGTAGACATCTAACAGAAAGTGTGCCATATCTTAATCAACTTAAAAAGCGAAACCCTCATTACAGTTTCTACTTTTTAGTGAAACTAACCATTCCATGAAGAAATATTGCATTTTTTTGGGTTCCAAATTTAGATAAAGGCTTATACTTGAAAAGTCAATACTTACAGCACAACAGGTACAACAGTCAAAAACTTCCTATTGCGAGTGAGCTGCTTGCCATTGTCTATTTGCTCCCACCAAGTCAAACCATTGTAGATACCTTGGTCATCAGCGAATGGTGTTCCCTTTTTCCAGTGAAAGAAGTGATATGTGACCTAAGGTAAGATGTGAATCAATGTGCAACACATAAGAAACATAGACGCAAAGTTGGATATTATAGCATTTATACTTGTTATAGTGAAGAGATGAAGACAGAATAATTTCTTGACTCCATCTTAAGGCATAATAATGACAAGCAATTCTCTAGCTAGATATTATAGTTTATTATTTCCCAAAAAGGTTTAACAAATTGCTTCAAATTTATAAACAGTCAGTTATTTAGACATCTAAGAGCAGAAATTCAAAGAAATTAGGTCTGACCAACAAAGATTAAGACATCTAGGGGCATAACAGTTATTTAGATGAATTTCCAGCATGATGGGAAAGGGAAGAGTTTGCGGTTCATGAGCATTAAACGTTTTTCAGCAATACAGATGAAATCAGTGCCTTTCTTCACTCCCAAAAGAGACAGGAAAGAGAGCTATTCAGAGGACATGCCAAAACATTGACAAATGTTGGCAGTCATAGGTGTCCTAGTTGTGGCTCCTTCACTTTTCTCCTGAGCGTACCCTTATGACTTAAAAATTCAGATTTCCATTCATCCACAGATATCAAGCCATCAAGAAAACTAGAAAGTATTACACCAGAATCATGGAAAATGAAAACAGTTTGTGAGAGCAAATATGTAATCTAATTATCTAATCAAATCTCAGAGGGGAAAAGTACACCGTGACTCTAAAAATGTAAAGATCAAAGCCCTTTACAACCATCCCAAGAGGTTGACAAACCAAGGATTTAGAAATTCAAGATACCAAAGCATACCGATTTGACAAAGAAGGGTATTATTCTCAACTTTCTCACATAACTGTGCAAGTCTTTTTAGGCATGCAATTAAGTATGAATATTCCATTTCAAGCCAATTTGAAATAGTCGATGCACTGAATTTCCAATAAAAAGTTCAGTTTATTAATTACTTTTTGTTCAAAAATGAGAAAAAAAAAATAAAGCTTAAGAGTTCCAGCGTATTCACTTATTCATAAATAACATGTTGCAGCATGCCTAACCTAAATAACACCAAGAAAACTACTGGGTCATCTCATTACATAATTTTTAAGAGGATTTGTCTATTGGCATCTAGAGATAAAAAACTTCAGTTCAACACATATCCAAGTACTAGTGCCGTTGGTATTGAAACTTTTCCCCTCCTTATCTAATTGAACCTCGAACAGAATCGGAGATATAGGCATCACAAAGACCAAGAAACTGATGGCAAAAATGCATAATTAAATAATTAATTCACAAACACAAGAAACAGAATGAATTAATACCATCAACATATTATTTGAGAGTTGTAATCATAGACATAGTCATAGACTTTCCACCAAGCATAAGCAAGCACAGACTTGAAATTCAACCTTTCTACTATTTTCTCCAATCGGATCAATTCAGGGAATATTTCAGAGGTGATTCACAGTAATCCAAGATTTTAACAAACGCAGGGAAATTATCTTCATGTTTGCTTACTAAAGTCTCAAGAAATCATCAAACTCTTAATTCATTCCAAAACCCCATCAAAAAATATTCTCACTAAGAAAATAAACATCAATAAAAAAAAAAAAAGCAGATCAAATTGAAACCCAGATAGAAAACGCAACAGAAGACATGGAAAAAAACCCAACTTTTATGGATCGAAATTAAAAAGAAAAAAAAAAAGAGCTTACAAAGAAATGAGAGAGATGAACAATGGTCCAAGCGATTCCAGGAGAGGAACCAAAGAAAGATAAAACGATGAGCCATGAGAAGAAAACGATCAAGATATAAGCGGCCCAAACTCCTGGGTACGTGAACCACTCTGTGTTCTTGTTCAGATCTGTCGGTGGCACAGCTCTCACATACATCTTTTACTTTTGTTTTTCTCTTCTTCTTTCCCCTTATTGGGTTTTTTTTTTTATTTTTATATTTAATCTTAAACAGACGGATGTTAATTCAAGTATTGATAATAGTGACAGACATAGGGTGATGCAGTCTTCGTTGGTGGCGGCTTTGGGTTTTACCTATTCAAAGTTCGCTATTCTCTACGCTCTCCTTATGTTTTATAGCTGAGCCTGGTTTGCGGTTGTGGTTGTGGAACTGTTGCTATGGTACAGGTTCTGACTTCTGGGATGACGCAGGGATCTTTTTTAATAAATATCGAGTCCGCCTTTTCACCGATGAAAATTAGATATTACAATTTTTATATTTGTATTTTTTTTTATTAAATAAAAAAATTATTGTATCATAATTTATATTAATTTGTTAAATATAAAACATAATTTTTATTTTTTTGTTAAATTTATATATATATAATTTTTATTAAACTTTTAAATTATATTATTTTTATTTTTTAAACTATCATGTTTAAAATTATTAAAGATAATGAAAATACGTAGGTTTATGAACTTAATTTGGTGAAACTCTTCGTCAATTTAAAAACAAAGCATCACATTTCAGCTATTGATATATTTGATATTTCCATCGAAAAACAAATTGAAGAAAATGAGATGAGGAAATTTCCGCCCTTTTCCTTGATTTTATAAAAAGAGATATGGGCTTCAGTGTTTGTTGCGAAAAAAAAAAAAAAAAAAGTCGTTACCAACCATTCAATGTCTGACCACCGGCGGGGGAACAAGGTGAGTTGGATGATTCAGGTGGACAATTGGTTGTTACTGTTTGAACTTCTAGCAGCTTGTTCTTCCGGCATAAAAGATATGTCATATGTCAATTACTACTACAAAGCAGCTGACCCCAATCTTGATTTCTAAATCTAAACATAGAATTACAGTTGACTTCATATACTGTTTGTCTGTAGGGTTTATTACACTCCAGGATTACAATCCAATTCAAAAAACTTCAGATTCAAAAGTATGTTTAACAACAGTTCATTCTTGGACAACAACTACAAGGATGAAACCGGAAATCCAATTAGCATTAAAGTATGTGCATGGGGAGTATCACCTGAGCGAGTGCCTGGAAACTTCATGGAAATGAAGGAAAAAAGAGGTGAAAGGATCATGTAGAGCGTTAATCGAGTCAAAATTACATGAATGGGGATTGCCACCATAGATTCATTTAATCATGGAACTTAACATTAGAGAACAAATCAAAGGCTAATGGCGGTATTGCCAACTCTATCCAAGCCCTCCATCAATCTTCTCTTTGCTGACTTGGTTCTGTAACACCATACCTCGAATGCCTCGCTCAAGTCAGGATACTTAACCTGTTCTGTTTTCATCCAGTCTGACAGAATATCAGCTTGATCATTTGACGGTAATGCTAACACTAATGATACAAGTGCCCCCTCAATACTCTGGCACAAGTCTTCATCCATCTTGTAAGGAAAATCTGTCTCCTTGTTCCCCTTTTCATCTAGGAGAGGTTTTATCTTCCTTATATACGGTAGCCATGTCTTTAGCAATTGCACCCGAGATGTTGCAGAGAGAATCACATTTCCATATCCAACTGCCTCTAGCACTTTCCCAGTTACTTCTATAAGCTTCACCTTCAGACCCCACATGACATTATCAAGTTTCTTGTCTTCGACTACCCCCAAAACCTTAGCAGACATTTCAGCCCAACTAGAAACAAAGTCCTTCATTAAATCCATCTTGGGGAGTATGTTACACATCCACTCAACATCGGATAGGCTCTGCAAAATTCTAGTCTCTGCAGTCTCAGTAGTGATGTCTGAAACAACAAGCAAGGAAGACAATTCCTTTTCAAATGATGAACAAACTTGGGACAGACCCATTTTTACCACTGATTTTACTTCATCATCAGCTGTAACTAATGGGGTGTCTTCATCCCCTCCAAGCATGAATTCCACTTGTTCTTGCGTAGATGCTTTAAGCTCATCTCCAAAGGGTGGACAGGATCCACCAATTGATGTGGCAAAGCGAACTGCTGAAACAAATACATTTTTGGTAGCACTCAAATCTACTGGTTGGATCCTCGCCAATATGGGCATGGCTATTGGCCCCAGTTTCAAGACTGCTTTTATAATTTGTTCCTCTTCCTTATCCTCCCAAGGAATAGCCTCCAAGTACCGGATGCAGCAGTTTGTGATGCCTTCACAGTGGAAGGCAACTGCTAACTGAAGAATACCAATAGCAGATTTAACCGAGTCCAGGGAGTCCAAAAGTAAATCAGTAGGGAGATATAGTAATCTCAAAAGGTTAACATGATGATCATAAGTATAGTCTGAGCAGTGAATTTCAATGCAGCGGCCAGTGTCTGGATTAGAGAGCTGATCCGCAAAGAACCTGCTTTTACTTATGAGAATGGAGGAGTGTGAGTAGAACCATTCAGGTCTTCCTTCACCATTTCTCAAACGTAAAATGACATCACTTGTACTCTTGTCCCCAAGATCGCAACGCTTGGCTACTGCAGTTAGGTCCATGTGCAGAGAGAAGGAATATGAAATTCATGCTTCACACAGCTGAAAGAAATGTTCAGACTGAAGTTTAGCAGAAAAGAAAATGATTAGCAACCAACATGAAGTCAGAAAGTATGATAATAAAGCAATCCTCCTCTGTCAAAATCTTCTTCTTCACACCCAACATAAAAAGATAATTGTCATGCAAAAATTTCTCAGTTTCGTTATCTGTATGCTCCAAACATGTATCTTAGTAAAGTCAGTAGAAGTATAAAACCATTTCCACATCCACAGAGCTGGAGACAAAAGATTAATATACAGTATTTCTAACGCATGTGAATCTCAATAGCTAAACAATACCCCCATATAGATGGTTCCCAGTACTCATCCATCTGTTACAATTTTTTTTTTTTAAAAAGGAAAAATCTGCATTTGTGTTCTATCAGACACTTAAGAATGAAGCATCTAATCCTACTTTAAAATGATATCATCCCCCTCTAGTTTACATTCTTTTTACAGAAGTGCATCTGAGAAAGCATAAACCCAGGACTTGAGACATCTATTGAATGGCTGGGAAAGCCATATATTTTCAATTAGGAAAGAAGTAATTCCATAGCCAAGGAAGGCCCCTGCAAGAAAATTCAGTTCAAGGGTAATAACTTCTTCATCATTTTTTTTTTTTTTTTGAGAAAACATAATGAGTTTTATTCCTTATCAAATCCAAAAAAGAAATTAGGTGGATTTTAGATATCACTGAGAATATTCAAAGCTAGAAAATTAAGCATCGTATTTCATGAATAACAGAAGAAATTTAAGTTTCAAAGTTAGATTTTTCATTAGTAGCTATATCTTCATTGATATTCTTTTGAATCCAAGCCAATAAAACATAGAGCATGACCTTCAAAACTTTATTTCATATTTTCCCTGTGTTTTCTTGGCAACCAAACAGAGGTTCATAAAGCAAGATCCAAAGACAGAAACTTTCCAAGTTTCTAACATCCAAAAGTGAGTTAGCTGTACCATAAATGCTATACTATTAATTCAAACATGCCCAAGATTAACAAAATGGAAAAATCAATAAGCAATTAAACATATTATTGATTACATTAATGAAAAAGAAAAAGAGAAAATTTCATAAATGAGAAATCTGAATTAGGGAAAAAGTCTGACCTTTTCAATGACCCAGATTGCATTAAAAGCAGACATAAATTTCCCTCACGTTTAACAGAACAAATCTGCTTAAGAACACAGAACTAGACCTGTCTCCCTTGGGTTTGGATTCAGAATCAGGCAATGAAATGACACATGGACAAACCCAAAGCGGCTTTTAAGGCAAGCATTTGAAATGACACAACTGGCCTCATGCATGTTAAACTTAACAAGTGGGTTACTCTGCCAATGGCATAGCAGTTAAACTGTCAAACTGACATTGAAGGTCAAACATGTAAAATCGCGGGACATTAACCTATGATGGTTAACATGATTGGTGGAGATGTTATATTTGTGTTATAGAATATATGAAAATGAACATCAAGAATTCAACATAAATATTGAACCCATTACTTCACTTTCCTAACTTTTCAGTTTTATGATGATGATATTTCAATTCAGTGCTCGTAAGCTTTGATAAAGTTGCTTTTTTTTTTTTCTCAAAGATGAAAAAGGAAAAGAAATTGTGGAAGAAAAAAAAGGTAGATATTGAAGTGTAAATACAGAAGTTGATTCTCATATCTGACTGTTTATGAGGATAGGAGGATCAAAGAACAAGAATTTTTACAACTTTTTCTTTTCTTCTTTTCCAATCCCCTCTGATAGCTCATTGATGAAGAGATGAAATTATTATAATAAAGTATGAATTAAAGATTGCCAAAACCCCACTTGCACAAATTGCATTAATTTATGATTAACCAATGGGAATCTAGAAAGCTACTCTAATTGCAGAGTGTGACAGCGATTAAAACAAGACCAAGAAAAGCATAGGGAAAAGTAAACAAAGTTAATGCGTCTTTGATAGTGTACACCATTTAAGCATTTCACTTGGATTTTTCTCGTCTTTGATTCTGGCATCACCCCTCTTTTCAAATGGTCAGGAAAGCTAGTGCTGTTGGCTTCAGTCCAGCCCTTTTTTTTTTTTTTCTCTCTCTTTTTTTGACAGAAGGCTTTAGTCCAGCTTAAATTTAAAATATTTGAAAAAAATCGATAAATTAAAAAATATCATCATATAAATCAAATGTATAAAAAACATTTTAAAAAACAAATTTAAATATATTTATTAAATAAATATTTTTACATATTATTGATTTTCATATTAAATTTTAGTAATTTATCGATTTAAATTTTTTATTTTTTTTTAATAAAAAATTTTTACGCTCTTTACTTTTGAAATTTTATATAAGTTGTCTCCCCTATAAAACCCCGTGACAACTCTTTTCTCACAATCAACAAAAATGATGGCCTCATCAAAGCATCTGGTTGCTGCCCTAGTGCTTGTTTTCTTGCTCTTTTCCCATTCATTCACAAAGCTTCGTGGTACTGATCTCAGCCAGATTTATGTAGCCCAAATTTGTCACTATTTGTAAGTAACTAATTCTCATTGTCATATCTTCAACTTTATTTTATGTTTTATGTGAATTGATTACAACTGAACTTGGGCTTTATTCAATTTAATAAATGTGATCCAAATGGGATATGGAAATTTGGGCTTCATTCGGAACATGGACAACCATGGACAAATCAACAAAAAGCCCAATTCCCTATTTCCTTGGGCTTAGGCTTGGGAAAAACCGGCTTTGGTCAATTGGGCAAAACCCAAAGAGGAAGAAAAAAATTTTGAGAAACCCTCTCTCAGGGATATTTATTATAACGTATGAAATCATATCATAACCGAACTGACACAGAATCATTCCACCCAAAAACATTGTGGATGACGTGGCAAAAGAACAAAAAAGGGAATCACGTGGGGCTATATTTGTTCCGGCAGCAGCGAAAAAATAACTGACAGGTGCAAAAGCATCTGAGGCGTCCGGCAACATGCCTCCTCTATCGCCGGCAGTACGAACCGCCTCAAAAAAACCGCCATTTAATTGACACGACAAGCAATATAAAAATTTGAACCTCCACGTGTCAGTTAGCCTTTGCTTACATATTGTTGTCCCAATTTCCAGTATAATTGCATTTCTCATTTCGATTAGTAGATGTGTATATCTCTGAATGATTAGGAAATTTTGATTTGAATAAGGTGATTTTTTTAATATAAATAAAGTTAATATGTTTAAATTAATAAATTATTGTGTATCAAACTATTTCTTAATTTATATATGATTTTTTTTTCAAATAAAAAAATAATATCATGCGAATTGGATATTAATATAAATGATGCACATATTCACCAAATTTTTTGAAGATTATCAGATCGAGAATAATTGTCTCAAACAAAATTTTATTCTAATATTTTCGGCCTTTAATTTTTTTATTCTAATATATATTCCCCATGAAAAGGGTAATTGTTTAGGGTTCCAAGGAAGGAGAAAGTGGGGGAAACTGTGAAACGACAGATGTTTGTACTAAAGAATGGTAGACATTCTCTGTTGACAGTTTCTCTTTTATCTAGGATTGCGTTGGGAGTGATGGTGCGTCGTGTAACTGGATCTTTGATTAGTTGTTTTTTTTGTTTCCAAGGGGTGGGGCCCGCTAAGCATTGTTTGGGGGACCTAAAAAGCCTTAAGGTGGGGCCTGCCCTGCTGCAAGACAGAGTTTCATGATTGGTTCATTAATGGTTGATTGCTGCTTTAAACCCTCTCGCTTTTGCTAATGAATGCTTCTTCTGCAATGGAACGGAGGGTGGCGGGTTTTTCTGGCACAAACCATGCAGCTGATGATCGGAGTGCTCTTAGTGAACTTCTTTATCATTTTTCCTTTATTATTATAATTTTTTTATCAGGGTAGGGCGTGACATATGGGACTCAGGAGGAGTTAAAAGCAATAGTCTTTCAATCTAGTTATCATGAAAGGCTTTATTGTGAAGATTTTAATGAATCATATTTCCATTTTCATGTTAGAAGTTGTTATTAATTTCGACTTATTTAAAAATATTAAAAATGCTTATTAACATTCATTTATGCAATTTCATTAAGATTAATCAATTTTAGATTTAAATTTAAATATTTATAATTTTTTCGCTATTTTTAAATTATTGTTTCCTTAGTAAACAAATGAATATGTACACTTTTATTTTTGATATTCTTTCTCTTTATTGTAAATGCGAAATATCGATCTTGCTCTCTTCTTTTTAACATTAGGGTAAAACAAGGACAAATTTGAAACCCATTTATCTCCTAACAAAATCACAATAATTTGCTGGCTTTTTTTCACATGGAGGTAATTGGTTTATAATCCATTTAGATAGATAGTAAAATTAATGTTGATGAAGTTAAAAATAATAATAATAATTATTATTATTATGATTAAAAAAATTATTATAAGTTATGAATAAAAAAAATTTCATAAAAATTTTATATTAAATAATTTTTATTAAAATTGACATTTAAATTCAACTTAATTCAATTATACCGTAAGAGACAACAGTTTAACTCTCACTTAATATTTTTCCAGTTGGTAGTGGACAGTTGAGCCAAGTCACAATCCATTTTGTTTTAATGATATCGTTTGCACACTTCACACCCGAACAGCATACGAATTTGCAATTTCTGGTCACATGACAAACAGCTGCTTGCTTTTGATCTTTCACACGCTCTATCTTTTCCCACCTACCTCATGGTCGATAGAGCTTCAAAATTGTGCATATTAATAACCAAACTCAAGATCCAGGAGAAGAGTAAATATTGTAAATAAAATGTAAGAATCACAGTGGTGAATTCGCATTGAGCTTTACCAACATTTGGAGGGTAAAAAGTAAAGTAACAGATTTATTTTTTTTTAATATTTTACGTGTTAATCTGTTCTCTGAGATGGTAACCTGGAGGGTCTAGCATTTCACTAGCACTTTTACTGGGCAATCGTCAGCTATGGCATCCAAAAAAGAAGTAAGATTCCTTGTAAGCTTTTGTGTTGTTTGGGAGGTGAGAAATCCAGAAGGAATTAATAGCATATGGTGACAGAAGCCATTAATAGTCTTGGAAAGTTGTAATAGTGGTTGCTAAACGTACAAGCAAAAGGGAGTGCAAGAATCAAAAGCCCTTCTGAACATTTCTCTGCCAATGCAGTGATGCAAAGTCTCTCTTTGAAAGAGGTCACTTTAATAAAAACTCTCAACCACTTCTAGCTAGTATTTTTCAACTCACTTTTCTCGTAGTGACTCTTTCTTCAACCTGCTTGACTTGTTAGTTTTTAACCCTCCACTCAATAGTTCATCCTTAACTTTATATAGAATTAGGCATACGAATGAGCAAAAAACGAAAAAAAATAAAATAAAAGCAAACAACAGTTTTTGAATGGATCATTGCTTGATATATACATAATAACTCTATATGTATAAAAGATTGATCAAGAAGATATAACTTTACTGAATTTTCTTCACAAGAAAAGACAAAGCACTTTGTTCAAGAAATAAAAAATTATCTGTCATTCGTTCCTAGTGATTTCTCGAAATCAAATTGCCAAAAAGATTGTGGTAATTATATTGGCTATTTGGATAATTATCATTAATTATTATTACTATTAGTATTGCAAAAAATAATAATAATAATAAATTTTCACATTACTGTAAGTCAAAACTCATTCAAAGTAAAGAAAATCAATTACATAAGTCAGTGGATAGAAACAGACATAACACAATAATCCTCGTAGTTTTTGTCTGATAGCCCTTAAATTGGTCCTCTTGCCCTTTTTTAGAGGGCAAAGCATGTTTTCCAAGGAGAATAATAAAAGGTCTTGATCAGCTAAATTTTAGGAGGGCACAATAATTTTAGCAAAATCACTGTTATCATTTCAATCATCATCTCATAGCCAATGGTGGATCCTCAAAAATTTTGAATTTTTTTTATACATATGTGATTTTTATAATAATTTTGATTTTTTAAAAAAATTAATTTGGCCCCTCAAATTTAAATTTATTGTATGATATATATTATTCTTCACTTTATGTATTTATATTGAATATATAATTACAAAACTTATATGTAGCTAAATATTATAATTCTTTAATTTGTGTTTACTTATTACAAATGATTTTCAATTTATAATGAATAAATTAGTCTAACATTGTATTTTCACTAAGTCAAAGCTTAATATATATGTAAGTATTAAAATAACTAAAATCGACTTGGCAAATATTCAGTTGTGATTTTTTTTCAACTAATTTTTT